AGTTCCAGCGCGTATCACACTTGGTAAACGGACGGATTCGATTACTTGATTGTCTGAATGCGTCATCAGCTATGGTTTGTGTCGACATACAGGCTGCACTCACTCTGGACGCGTCGTGAATCCCAGGGAAAGAGGATACATTTCAGTGCAGACATACCCATCCGAATGCTGGCCAACTGGATACGTACTTCAACTCTGGTCGCAAGTTCTCGCGGAAAGATGTGTTGCGTGAGTCGATCGAAGGAAATTTCCTCCGATTTCCTCAGAGGCCGTGGTTTGTGGGACTGCTTGCCAAACCGTGGTCACGGTGATTGTAACCGTTTCAGCGGTGCTTTTATGAAGGTAATGGTCGATTCTTCTTCGCTGTCGAAGACAATTCAAAGATCTGCTCGACCCGGAAGGTCGTTGTGTGATGCCGAGAGAGGTTTGGAAGAGTGGAGAGACAGCAGGAAGACCACAGAGCAAATAATGCATAAAACAGCTACCACAAGTCGCTTTCCTTTGCTTCGAAAGCCCGTCAGACGCTTTTGTCTGACATGGGATGGAGTGGTGGGTGGTGAGCCTGAGGGGGTGGGTTCTCATTTAGGTAACACACGTTTCCTCTTTAGTGTGTGACAGCTGAACATGGCTGTAGTCTGATTAGTTGGAGTTTTTTCGAATCTTGAGTCGGCTGAGGAATTCTTCCCTGTACTCAGGCCTGAGTAGCATGCCTATCTTAGTATCTATCCAGTCATTAGTCACTCCGGTAACGGATTTGAAGTGCATAGAACACGCACCAAAATGATGTCAATTTCTTTCACCCCTTGAACGCATTGGAGGTTTCTTCTACTGTGGCAACTCGGCCCATAGGATGCGATTATCACATCAAGTGCTTGGCGCGAGCGTGTGTTGATTAGTCACATGATCGCGCCAAACTCTTGTAAGACTTAGACAGAGCTCAGATGATGAGATAAGGACATCCTCTCTGTGCGTGTTCCACATGTGAGATACTGATGGCTCGGAGAGAGTATAAGGAGTCTCGCGCTGGTCATGAGGCTCTCCCAGTAACCGTCGTCCTTGCTCAGCTCACCACTTGACAAAGAAACCTCTATAGATGCAGATGAAATACAAAACAGTCCAGATACGGTATGTCACTAGCTAATGGATACTGAGAATACTGACTATACATACAGCAATGTGAGCGATAGCTGAGCAAATGCAACGAGAGCGAACCACGGCAGCGAGAACGGTGAGTACATACAGGAAACGAAACAAATCTAGGTTCGGTATTACAAACCGCGGGCCTTCCCCTTCCCCTTGCCGACCAGCGGCACTTCAGGCTCAGCTCCGTCCCAAACTCGAAGATGTCTGTGAACACGGTGCTCCCCGCGGGACGCTAGGCTTGGGCTCGAAGATGTATCGCGAATCGACTGGCAGCCGCTCCATGGCATCGGCATCCATCTCCTCCTCATCGGACACTTCCTCGATAGTCACACCTGCCGCCTTCTTCCCTGCTTTTGGCTTGTTATTGTTGACTGGGGCGGGCGGGACTGGATCCGACAAACGGCGCTGACGAGGCGGGGCTTCAGCTGACGGTCGCGCAGAGACTCGGGCCGAAGCAGAGGCGGTCTTGGCCGCGTCTTTTTTCGCAGCGGCAGCTGCAGAGCTCGACACCCACACTTGGGACTGTGATTGCACTGGCGGCGGGGGACGACTGAAAAGGGACGAGGCCATCGATGAGTCCGATGCCAACGATTTGTGGATGGGAGGGCGATGCGTCTTTTCGATGGTCGTCCGAGACGAGCTAGCACCCGGAGTCTCCAGCTCCACTGCTGGCCTGGGCTTTTTCTGGAACGCCGACAACGACGAGGTCGACGACGAGGTTGAAGACATGGCAGACGACGAGGCCGAGGAGAGAGTTGGCCGAGGATCGAAAGTTGGAGGGGACGGTTTTTAGACGCAGCGACCTGTCGTTTCTCTTCGGCAAGACGCTTGTTAATCTCGAGCTCCCGCAATCTAAATACCTCCTGTTCTCGTTGTTGGCGCTCGATATCATCACGTCGCCGGCGTTCGGCATCTTGCCTCTGCTTGATTTCGTCCTCGTGACGGCGTACTTCCTCTGCTCTGCGGCGAACGTCTTCCTCGTGAGCCTTAGCCTCTTTCAGCTTTCGGGCGAGCTCCTGCTGCCTTGCCGCTTCCTCCTGCTCGAAACGAAGTCTGCGCTCATGCATCACCCTGATTTTTTCCTCCTCCTCTCGCCGGAGTTGTTCCTCGATTGCTTTGCGCTTGACTTCCGCCGCTCTTCGCTCAGCTTCTTCGATCGCCCGGCGCTTGGTTTCGGCAGCTTTGCGCTCGGCTTCTTCAATCGCACGACGTTGGGCCTCCTCCGCTTTACGTCTAGCTTCCTCCGCGGAAGCTTTGCGTCTGGCTTCCTCAGCAGCCTTACGCTTGAACTCTTCTGCCTCCTTCCGAGCCTGTTCCTCCTTGATTTTCTCCGCCTCCAACTCGGCCTTCTTCTTGGCGTCCTCTGCCGCCTTTTGAGCTTTTCGTTCGGCCTCCTGCTGCTTCTTGGTCAGCGGCTTCGCCGTCTTCGGCTTGGCGGCGGGAACGGGAGTCGAAGTTTTGGCAGACGCCCTCGCCGGTGGTTCAGGAATCGACTTGCCCTTTTCTTTTTTGGATGACGGAATCGGAGTCGATAGCGGGTCGCTGGTAGGTTTGACAGCCAGTACGGTATCGATGGTGGGGCTTTTCTTCTTAGGAGCTTTCTTGCCAGTCTCGGGAAGCCATGCCTGCACCTTGGCTGTCGAGGATCCGATTTCGAGCGTGTCCATGAGCAAGTCATCACCAGCAAATGAATGAACCGACTCCACGACCGAGTGGGACTCAAGAAAGTCGAGGAAGTCCGCGCCAAGCCTGTCGGTCTCGATCATCGGTTCGTCCGAGATGTCGTGCTTGAAGCTGATTGTGGATTGCGACTGACGGCGGTCCCGCTTTGTAGGAACGAGAGGCTCAGACGAGAAATCGAACGCTCCAGGCATCGGGCGACTCTCCGATTTAAGCTTCGATTCAACTTCTTGCGCAAGTCGTTGCCGTAGACTCTCGCCGGTTCCAACAGCCTTCCGCGCCATGTACTGCGAGCGCCGTTTCTCACGTTCAGCGTGCACCAGTTCTCGACGTTCGCTCTCTTTCGCGTGTCGCAGAGACAGCATATGAGCTTCGTGCGCTTTGATCTTGGCAGCCTCTTCTTCGTGCCATCGACTGATCCCGCTACGAGCGGTGATTGTGCCTCGACCGCGATTCCCGCTGCTCATCTCGCGCTCTCGATCCTTATACAGCTCTTCGAGTTCCATCGCCAGGGCGATGTCCGCCTCAGCAGCCTCGGAATGAAACTCGCGAATTTTTCGCGCGCGCACATCCATCTTGAACTTGGCGAAAGCAGCTTCAGCCTCGGCGTTCTCGTCGACGATGTCAAAGGCGTCGGTCTCAGCGTCCGAATCGACAATCTGTGGCCCGATATAACGAGGACCACGAGTGCGAGGAACATCTCTGTCTGTGGGTTTGTGGTGGTGCTGCTGTGAAACGGAGAATGGGTCGCCTTGGGAAAACAGGGCGCTGTGTCCAGCGAAGGAGGGCATGGCCTTGGGAAGTCGTTCCGGGGACCCAGCCTGTGAGCTCTGCCTCGACGATTGGCTGGTTGCTGCAGACCATACATCGTAGGTCGACGACGAATCTGTAGTCCAACCCCAAGCCGTGTGCGTTGGCGGGTCGAAAGCCTCGCCGTCGCTGGACGGAGCGGAGCTGTGGTTCTGCGCAGATGAAAGGTCACACGACAGTGGTGAGCGAGATTCTCGGCGGCACGTTGTTATAGTACTCACCAGTTCAGAAGAGAACATCGACTCATAGGCTTCGTCATCGTCCGGGTCATCCTCCGGTCGAAGAGACGTCGGAGACACCATTGAGTAAGAGGACATGCTCGAGGCATTGGCAGAACGTGTCATGATCGAAAGTGCGATGGGTTCGGGAGCTGCGTTGTTGTCATCAGCCTTCACCAGTGCCAGTCCGTTCTGGTCAAGCCCGCCACCCAATAAGCGCTCGACAGCGAGGAGCTCGAGGTGCGCCATGTCACCCCAGTCCTCATCCCGCAGCCCTGCCTTATCAAGGCGTTCTTGCCACGCCTCGCGTGACGCCATCACAAGCGCGTCGTGTTGTTGACGGCGAGTAGTCTCTTTGGTCTGCTCCAACTCCGAGTGAGTTGGTCGTGAGCGTGGGGGCATGGCCTTCCAGCGAGCGTCGAGATCCTGGAAGGTACGCGATAATGAGCGATCCATCTCCGCACGAGGGCCGTCTTCAATGAATTGCACAAATGCCGCCCATTCTTGACGGACCCGTTCCCCGGGAGTGGGTTTCTTGTGAGTCATGTAACCGTTGCTTGTGGTCGGTGCTGCCGAGGTCGTTGTGGGGTTCGAGAGGAAAGGACCAGAGAAAAACGACATCAGGGGTTCCCTGCGCTATCGCGTTTATAAAGCTGTACAGAATGCGATGACTCGAAGCGCCGTACTTTGGATCGAGTGCTGCTGTTGACAGATTTTTGTGGTGTGTTTGAGGTCAAAAAATGTATGGGCCGATGGGAAAGAAGAGTGCCTCGTGGGGGACGCGTGGGCGACAGGCCAAGTTATCGGACCCTTTGGATGGAGAGTCGCCCTGAGATGCTTGAGATGAGTGAAGTGGTCAGCGCTGAAAATGCGAGGAGGACGAACGAAAAGGCGGGAGCAGAAAAGTGGAAGGCAGAGTCAAGAGAAGATTTGATTCACGTGCCGCGCTTCGGGGATGAAAACACGAGGTCAGACCTGGGTACAGGGTTCACCGACAGCTTTGGTTGATTCAGCTGTTCCACTGCATCTACTGTATGTAACAACCCGATCGAGCCCCGGTGATTCTCCAGCTATTGCCACCCGTCGTGCTAGTTCCTTCCCGACCACAAGCTGCTCGAAATGGGTGCTCAGATTGCAAGTGCAACGATCGGATCAGGGCTGGATCATGAAGGCACAACGCGATCAATTTCCCAGGCGCGTGTAATCTACGCGTCGACGCGTGTCAAGACAGTCCATCCAAGACTTGAACGATCTTCCTGTCGACCGACGCGTCCCCGAGCACCAGCGGGGGGGGTTCGAAATAACACGGCGTGTGAATCTCGAAGAGACAGATAAGGGCTTGGGGTTCGGCACAACTGCGGAATTTCGGTTTATACAGTCCCACTGTGGTAACAACGATGCGATCAACCCTTGCTCCCAGCATCAACCCCGCCTAGTCGGGACTGCGAGCAGCATTGTTCTGCGCGCCTTGAGGCTGGAGAGTGGACTTCAAGTTAGGGTCGTAGGCCAGAGAACATTCGATCGGAACTTCGATGCGTGACCGTAACAGGCAACAACAACGTGACGTCGATGGCTCGGCACGCGTCGTTCTGCATCGTGCCCTCGGACGCAGCGGTCGGCCTGCCGCAGTCAGCGTGTTCTCAGTTCTGGAGTGGACCCGAGTGGAGTTCTCGTCATCATCATCATAAGTGCACTCCGGATCGGGCTTATCCTCCCGCCACCCGGATGCGAGGCAGCGTTTTTGCTACGACAACGACGTGATATTCGATCGAAATCCGACGAGCCAGCTACGCGGTCTGAGGCCACGCGGTGCTTCGACTCTCCTCGTAAACTCTTCCTACACTTGTGGCCCCCGCATCGTCTCGACTTACCGCATGTCTACCGCCTCGACTTCCCGATTAAGGCCTCCACCAGCCAGCACTGCATACCCTACATTTACCCCGCCGATTCCGGACGCGGAAGACGAGCCTGACGATGATTGGAAAGCGTTGAAACGTGATGAGATTCAAGAGGAGTTCCAACCCATGATTCAAGATGCTAAGGACCGGCTTGAACGAAGTATACAAGCGCTTCCCTTCTCAAGTGGCTCGGTCGAGCACACCTCACGCAAGGAGTCCCTCATCAAGAAATTCGCGGACGAGTCGAATGACATACGGGCTCTCGCCAACGACGAGTTTCTGCATCGCGTTGCGCGTGAGCGTGTTACCCGGCGGATGATACGAGGTGGACAAATCAATGCTACGGTTCAGGGGTCCCTACTCGAGGAGCAGGCCGCGATCTTGGCCCAGATTAAGAGGGAAAATAAGCGGAGAGAGTCAACATCTGCCGATCGGCCGCAAGTGGTGGATGGGCTGGAGCACGAGACCCAAGTGGAGGATGAGCAACGGGCTACAGAATTTTTCAGCCACGCTAACCGTCCGACACCGCCTTTCTTCAGTCCATCGTTGATCTCCCAGCTGTCACCGTCACCTGCAGAACTACCGCGGGCCCCTTCGCGATCACCCACGAATCCACGGCCTCCAGAACGATTGCAACACATGCCAATCCCTTCTCTATCCCAATTAACGCCTGCCCGTGGGAGCAACGTCTCGGACAGGGTGCCACGTCCCTTGACTGGAACGCTTTCTGAACGCTCGCCAACGGGACCCGGCACGAACTCACTCTCTCGTTCATCGACGATGTCTTCTTCCCCAGCCGGTGGGGCGCAACCCAAATCATATCGGGTGCCTGACCGACCGTTATCATCAGGACAGTCTCCGTCTCAGCCACCCGTTCCTCGTCAAACTTCTCAGGCATGGAATATTGCGACAAGAGAGATGGATCCCCAGTTCGACACGACACGGCCTCTAAATATCCGACGGCAATCGCAGAACGGCAATCCTCATCTCAGTCAAGACTACCCGCTCAACTCGAGCCCGACGAACACACGATACGGCAGCTATGGCTCGACAGGACAAGCATTTGCTCAGATGTATCCGTCGACATCGAAAGAACCATGGTCCCCGCCTGCCAACAAGCCTTGGACGACGTCGTTCGATAACGAAGCTTGGAGCGAGGGCGATCGCGGGGTGACGGACGAACCCGACTATTTTGATCCCACTGATTATCATATCCCATCGCCTTCAACAACGAGGAGGAGGGGCTCCTCCGTGAATGATCGTCCGAACGGCTTCGGTAAATTCATTTTCTCTCTGGTTTTACCTCTTTTGTTCTCCAAATTAAAAACACCTGCTCATGGAAATTTTACCAGTCGGATCACCCTCAACCACATTACCAGAAATCTGGACCCCTTCACCCGCAGCTGTGTTGGAAGAGGAGAAGCTTGCACGGCGACAAAGTTTACGGGGGAAATCTTCGGGTTCATCCATCGCGTCCTCCTTCCGAAACAGCAAGCCGGTTCCTCCGCCCCCACTGGATCCGGAACCTGTCCCTGAGGTGACCGATAATGAACTCGATACTGAGGAAGACGACGTCAAGTCAGAAGCCGAGGAGGACAATGATGCGGACAACGATGCGGACAATGACGGAGCCATGTTTTTGGAACAGAAACGGCGACGCCGTTATCCAACGAGTGCCGGTATGAAACAGACGAGACTACCTGTCATGCGTAGCGCATCGTTTGTCTCTGCACTCGGTCGTACGAAGCCACCACCGCAGGATGTCGTCTCTACTGATGGGGAAACCGATTTGGAGGAACCCGGGGCACCCGCCCCGGGCCATGGCAAACGGAGTCTCCCGTACGGCCAACCTTATCCATTGCCTGATCCTGAGTTGGACTGGGAACGAGATCGGCATCGAACGCGTGAAGAGAATGAGCGAAGGAATTCCGAAAGGCAGTGGGACGGAATGAACAAAGGTCGCATCAGAGAAAGTATCAAGAAGGCGCGTAATCTCCAGGTGAGTATCTGTAACTGATAGCGCAGCCGCTGTACTGATTCAGCTCATCTCAAAGCATGACACATCCGACGCACCGGTACCACCGTTCAGCTCAAATTCGCATGCGATGCCCATTCCCGGTCGACCTCAGCCGCCTTCGCCCGTCAAACCGCGTAATCGCCAGGTGTGTAGCTGTCCCGGATAAGCGCACCCATTATGCTGATTCAGCTCATATCAAAGTATGACACATTCGACGCACCTGCGCCCTCCTTCAGCTCAAACTCGCCTGCGATGCCCATTCCCGGTCGAGCTCGTTCGGCCTCCCCCGAGGAACTCGCCTACAGTGCTGGAGATCTGTCCCGTTATCTCGTCGTATCACGCGAGCCACATGTCGCTCCGGGGACATCTCCTGCGGGCCCCAGTTCTTTCGGCTCTTTCGGCTCATCTCGTGCCGATGAAGAGGTCGAGAAGGAAAAGCAGCGAATTTTCGAAGCGGAACAGGCAGCGAAACAGCTCGAGGCCGAGGCCCAACGGAAAGCCGACGAGGCCCAGCGGAAAGCCGACGAGTTGGCTGAGATAGAGAAAGCAACGAAAGAGAAGGAGGCAGAACTTGCGCGAAAGACCGAGGAAACGGAGGAGATCCTACGAGGGGTCAGAGCTAAGGAGGACGAGTTGAGAAAGCGTGAGGAGGAGGTTAGAAGGAGAGAAGAAGAAACGAAGAGAGAGGCAGAAAGAGTGAAGAAAGAGTTGGAGAAGAGGAGGAAAGAGGAGGAAGTGAGGGTGAAGAAAGAGGCTGAGAGGAGAAAGAAAGAGGAGGCTCAGAGAAAGAAAGAGGATGCTCAGAGAAGAAAAGAAGAAGCAGAAAGGAAGGCGGCTGAGAAGAAGGCGGCTGAGCAGCGTTCCAAAGCGGAGGCTGAGCTGCGAGCCAGAGAGCAGGCCCTGCTCCTTGACAAACAAGAAACCGAGCGCAAGGCCAAAGAAGAGGCTGAGCAGCGAGCCAAGGCTGAGGCTGAGGCCCAACAACGTAAGAAGGAGGAAGATGCCAAAGAAGAAGCTGCTCGCGAAGCACGTAGGAAGAAGCATGAAGAGGAGGACCGTCGTCGGCTTGAAGAGCAATCTCGCTGGGAACAAGAAGAAAAGCAGAGACGTGAAGAATCCGAGCAACGACAGAGAGATGAAGAGGAGAAACGTGCCCGGGATGAAGCCGAACGACGCGATCGAGCTGAACAGCAGCGACTGCAGAGAGAGGAATACAAACGCTTCGAACGGGAAGAAATCGCTCGGCAGCGCGAAGAGCAGGAGCGCAAGCTGAGGGAGAAGGAGCGAGAGAAAGAGAGACAGAAGGCTGAGGAACAGCAGGCATTTAGACAGCGCGAGGCTGAGATCAGGCGCAGGGCAGAGGAACGCAAACGCACCAACAGCACTGGGATCGATCCCAACTCGGACTGGAGCTATCACAGCTGGGCCCGAGCCGGTGCCAGTGCGAGTCCAACCAGTCCTTCCTCGTCGAATGCTTCTTCCTCAACTCGCAGCAGCACGTGGTCCGGCTCATCCTGGACCAATGCCAGTTCTAATTCGACGCCGACGCCCAGCAAGACCAAGCCGGCTCCTGCCCCAACCTCGGCCCCCAAGACGAGCACACCTCAACCGAACGCGGAAGAATGGGCACGTCGACAGCGCGAGCAAGCCGATGCCCAGTTCCGTAAACTTCAAGAGCAGCTCGAACGAGAGCGACTCGCCAAGGAACAGAAGGCTGGGAAGCTGAGCAAGGAGGAGGCAGCTCGGGTATACCAGATGCACGAGCAGCAGTGGGCCCGAATCAATTCTAGCAGCGAAGTTGGTTGGGAGATGCTTCCGTGGCCTATGTTCAGGAGACCGAACGAGCCGGACGATATCACGGGCTCCGCAGTCGACGCATATATCCTGTCGCCGCATTACCCGGACCCCGAGAAGAGCACTAAGGATAGGATTCGGCAGCAGTTGCGCAAGTGGCACGAAGATCACTTCAACCAGAAGGTCTTGTCCAAGGTTGGTGAGAAAGACCGCGAGGAAGTGAGAACAGGCGCAGGCACCGTCACAAGGAACTTGAACGCTTTGCTCGAGAGAACCAATGCGAAGGAGGCCCTGTCGATGCTCTTTGGCTAATGTGAGTCACGCTCCAAACCCTGTTCAGCAGGATGTTGATTAACTTGGCAGCTTGCATGAACACGTATATATATGTACTCACATGTACCACTCCTCCGCTCGTTTTCATCACATCATGTACGACTCACCGCATCATGTACGACTAGAGAACTATCATCAACGGGATTTACATACTCACTACTCACACACACACACACTCACTATGTATGCTTGCCACTGGTCCCTTCATCAGCTGTACGAGTACGAGGATTCTATTGTAATTGAACGCCAGCGCTCCATGAGCTATGCGGTTGTCGCTGATCGAGTAAAAATCTCAATGGGAAGCACCTTGACATGGTAGTGGGCAGTGGGAAAGGGAGACACAATGGAACCGAGCAGGGTTCATATACATGGATGATCCAACTCCAAATTGGGATAGTATGGCTATGATCGGACCATTCGGGGACGGAAGCAGAGCATGTTGTTTTGAGCAAACTACATGGAACTAATCATAGAATACAAGGAAACGGAGTTCGATGGATTCTCTCAGTGGAGCATCAGCAGGTGTTGTTGGATCGCTGAAAGCTGTGTGAGGCGTGAGCAACGCGACGGACCCGTCTTGTTGAGAATCAAAGCTGGAACAGAGCACTTCGAATCAGCATCCTGTACCAAGCCTACACATCAACAACTTGGGACAAACCATTTGATAAGGGCAACCTCGTCTGGATCCATCCCACGCAGATATACCCATCTCTGATTCTCGTTGTACTTCACGCCGTACGTCTCGCCTTCGCGATCGGGATAGACCAAAGCGATTGCGAGCAGGTCCTTCTCCACATCTACCGTCCGAAAGTCGCACAGAGCTAGAGGCCAGTCGAGGGCGATATGGTTTATCGGGCGCCACATATTGACTACCTGGAAGCGGCCTTTCAGGAGGGCAGGAGCGTCTTCAGGCGGCAGATGGCGGTGGACACGAGAGACGGCGGATGAGTTGGTTTGATCCACATGCGCCTGGGACACGGGCTGGCGCTTGTTCGGTGCGTCGTCGAATTCGGTCGGCCGGCGGCGACGGATAGCTGCTGTTCTTAGCATCCATATCACGCGTTCAACTTGGCAAGACGCACTGTGATCGAATAGTACCACTCTGCTGGCTCCAGTGAGGCGCTTCATGAGCTCAATGCTCTCTGGATAGTACTCCCGCTCGATTGCAGTATCATCCGAGTAATCTTGAAATTTGGTGGGCTCGCGAAAGAATTGGAAACCGGTACGATCCAGGGACACGTCCGCTTCTCTGCCTCGGATGTTCTCGATCTTCACCGCATGCTCCTTGAAGGCAACATTGGTAATTGGCTGGCCCGTCTCCGAGGATGCGTTGATGCTCTGGTATGCCCGCTTGCCATCAATTGGATCGGTCACGAATGTTAGCCGAGTGTCGGCGAAATTGGGGACGACTGGGGCGGCCATGTGAGATCGTTCTGTGTGATTGAAAGATGAAGAGGATGTACTCGTATCGTAATCCTCTGTCCTTTCTTATAAGGCTCAGGACTCGCTTGAGATGATAGCGTCATCCCCGGACGGAATTCGTCAGCGGATGGGTAAGCTGATCGAAGACGAGATATATCAGGATTCGGCATTTGGAATACCGAGTAAATGTCACCTTTGTTAGGCAGAACAATCTTTCGCCGCACGCGGGTGGCGTACATAGTTCTACGCAAGTTGAGTGCCGGGATTCGGAGACGTGACGATACAATCATGTGATCGTGAACCTTGTTCATGTCACCCTGTAACTCGGACAGACTCGGACAGGCTCTAATCAAGGACAGGCTCTAACCAAGGACTGGATCCTGACAACCCCACTGGTAGCTGCCAGCCACTGCCAGTGAATTTCAAGATCGATCCATAGCCAATCCCAGTATTCTCTATAACTCACCATACACTGCCCTGCTGTCGTCTTGGACGCTCTCGCTCTGATACCGGCTCAAAAATCATGCACTGTGCACTCGCTTTTTGTTCCACCCGAAACCTGTGGGAAAAAACTCGAACTTGAACTCATGCGTTGCCAGTCCGAGAATGAATCAAACCTTTGACTTGCTAGAGATATTCAGGCTGGGTACTGGGGTCTCACCGCTCGCCAAATGCCCAATCTTGTTCGTGTGCGGTGGGGCCGATGTGTCGTGTCTTGACAGGTTCTCAGTCATCCACCAACGACTCACAGCGATCAAACGGACAACAACGCCGCGATTTGAAGAGCCTCCGGGATAATCCCCTCTCTCAAGTGGAGGGTCATCCATGATCAGCTCGTGTCTCTCACGAAACGAAACTCAGCTGTGCCTACCAATCTCACGATACGGAGCTGGATACTCCCGTTCTGGCTCGCGCATACATCCAGGCACAGCGCCCCTGCAAACAAAAACACGAGATGTCAGTCCATGACGACGACTGAGATTCCAAGAAACTCGTACCACAGTGCGAATGATACCATTTTCTGTGCATGATATCAATATATAAGAGTGCCAATAATCCATCTCCTCATTCACACCCTCCAGCTGCACACATTCCATGGCCCTAGTCAAAAACAACAGTAAAGGAATGGCGGACGGTCGCGAGCACGATCGGATCGCGAACTACACCAAATTCTGGGATAAGGACATGGCGAAGGAGAACCAGGCTCACACCGAGCACAGAGTGGACAGTTATGCCGAAGTTGTCAACGGTTGGTGCATGAATCAGGGATCTAGTCATTTCTGAACTTTCCTAGGCTACTACGATGGTGCCACCGAGTTGTACGAGTATGCTTGGGCCCAATCGTTCCACTTCTGCCGCTTCTACAAGGGCGAAGGTTTCGACGCAGCACTGGCGAGACACGAGCACTATCTCGCTGCGCAGATGAAGCTGCGGCCCGGAATGCGCGTTCTCGACGTTGGATGCGGAGTCGGCGGACCTGCTCGCGCTATCGCCCGTTTCTTGGACGTGGAGATCGTCGGCCTGAACAACAACGAGTTCCAAGTGCAGCGCGCGAGGAAATACACGAAGAAGGCAGCGTTGAATGAACAAGTTACCTTTGTCCGTGGTGACTTCATGAAGTTGGAGGAGCAATTTGGCCCCAACTCTTTCGACGCCGGTGCGTTCTACTCTAGCCCTCGCGTGGAATTCGAACTCAAAGGTGTCCTAGTGTATGCCATCGAGGCCACATGCCATGCTCCTACCTGGGAGGGTGTCTACGGGGAGATCTTCAAGGTGCTCAAGCCAGGTGGCACAGTAAGAAACATTTCCTCAAGTTGAAAGCATCGCTCAGCACAGACTATTCTAGTTCGGAGTCTACGAATGGTGCATGACCGACGAGTGGGATCCGTCGAACCCCGAGCATGCCAAGCTGCAACACGAAATCGAATTGGGGAACGGCATTCCCGAAATGCGCTCACTGAAGCGCGCGCGCGAAGCTCTGAAGTCGGTCGGGTTCGACATTGTGCATCGAGAGGATTTGGCGGACCGGGCCGATCCTGTTCCGTGGTATTACCCGCTGGAAGGTGATGTGCGCAAGGCGCAGACTGTGTGGGACTACTTCACAGTGTGGAGAATGAGTCGGAGTGGCATGTTCATCACACACAACGCGGTCTGGCTGTTGGATAAGCTTGGGCTTGCTCCCAAGGGGACCCACGACGTAGGCGAGGCTCTGCGAATCGCCGCTGTTGCTTTGGTCAAAGGCGGTCAGTTGAAGGTCTGTCAAGTCTATTCTTTGATTTGCGTATTCTGACACAGGCACAGCTCTTTACCCCTATGTATCTCGTCGTGAGCCACAAGCCTTCTCGCACGCTGGACAGCTATCAATAGTCATCGCGTTACTCATATCGTGCCTGCGTTTGTAGTCATCGAAGTCACCTCGCTTCTGATGCACGGGAGCGTTAATATGGCCTGTAGTCAGGAGAAATAAATGTCGCACCTCACCAGTGCTTCTATGCGGAGGTTGAGAGAGTGAATTCCATCAATTCAAAGGCATCATATCATAATCATGTGATCGCGTACAAGTCCTAATCAAGTGTGATGTACTCATTCAAGGTTGAACGACTTAACCCCACTGTCAATTTACACCCTCACCATCCCCCGTCGTAACAGCCGACAGTCTTCGCAAAGTCATCTAAACAACAAGCACTGTCGCGACAACGAGGATGTTCTCCACTCTTTGGTGAATATCACATCTCAACTCCAAAATCTTCAACGCAGTTACTAATACGACGGACCTTGATCCATATGCTACCGATTCAACGTGGGAGTCTTGAAATCTCGACGTGGCCATGCGCATGAGCGATGTCTCATGACAGCTATCAACCGACTAGTACTATGGAGCCCTATTGCCGTTTGTCACCCCGGAACACGACTCGCTCAAGTTTGCACGACCCTCTCTCCGACTGCCGTACACTGCTTGCCAATGCAGTGCCAGTGTCGTCACACACACGCATCTTTGTAGAAATCTCGCATATGACATCTCGCACCCAAATCGGTTTCTCTCAAGCTGTTGCCAATCGTACAAACAGATGTGTTCCCACAGCCCTTCAATTCATCCGACCCATGCTGGATTTAGACAGCGGATGGATTTGCGACGGATCTGCGACGGATTGGCTGATATTCTTGTGATCGGTTGACACGGTGGGTAAGTATCAGGAAACGGGTTGTCAGGCCAAGACACACTGCCTCATAAACGGGATCGCATTTGACAGCCCGATACCCCGGCATTGCCTAAGTGTTGCCTTCCTCTGTCCCGTGTTCTTTCTTTCTCTCTTTCTCTCCTTCTCTCTTTCTGTCCTTCGTCTCTTCCTCAGTCTTGTCTGTTTCATCTTCATTCCGAAATGCAGGCCACTTCACTGTTTTTAGTATTGCTAGTGTGAGTGACCTTTGGGGTCCGGGATCTTGTTTTTCTGCTGCTGAGGAGAAGACCAGTTTCCTCATATCTTCAGCATCAACTGGCCGGGCTCTTCTGATTTCGCCTCCTACGAAAGCTGTCGCCGGATCTAATGCGACTGTGCTTTGCACCGTTGAGACTGGGGAGTCGATCGACGGTCTGACGTTCTATCTTACGAACAACGGGACGCGCGATGCTCTTGCCACCACTGTGTTGACCGCCGATCCGATACAGCTCTTGGTGAACATCCCTTCGGGGCTATCGGGGTCTGTCTCAAGGCTTGATCTGCGACTGATGTCTGACTTCGGAGCAGAAAAGGATGGAAGATATCTGCTGTAGACGCTGCCAAGTACGTCGTGACTCGCACTCAGAATTGACGCACAAGAGATCTTATATGTGCTCGCCAGTCCCGATGCTTTTGTCGGTCAATCGACAGCGTTCTCTATAACTTCGCCCCCCAATCCCGGCCATTTGGCCCTCATCATCAGTGTGGTTCTTTCTGTTATCGTTCTCGTCGGCGTCGTCGCAATCGGTCTGTTGATCCGTCGCCGTCGCCAACAGCAGAGAGCCGCTGCCCCGATTTTCAACATCGAAACTGGAATGGTATCTGCTTTGGGACATCGCCACATCCCTTCCACTGCCAGCTCACGCTCCCTCGAGTCCCCAAAGCAATCTCTTGAGCAAGAGAAGCTGCGATGGGAGCAGCAGCTCGATGCGCAGTTCGCGCGTGCGCGAGCAGGAACACCGGACGTTTCGCGTGGTCCCAGTCGGGAAGACTCCCCGCCCAGAGTCCCTCCCGTTGCTTTCACTCACTCTTAAACGACGCTCATTTTTGTTCACAATTCGGAATGGACCACTGCAACGATGCCTTGTAACGTAAAATGGATGGCCTGGACACTCCTGGACAGTATTGTAACTTGCACTCTCATAATTTCTGGTATCTTCTTACCGATGTAGCTGTCTGTGTGCCTCTGAATCTGTACCAGTACAATGTACCACATGTGGCATGTGCAATCGGATTTAATTATCTCTTGAACTCGAAGGAGCAGTAAGGTTCACATGCCGCCGCCCACTACTCGGCAAATTCCGAGGCAGCTTGTCTCGCACTGGTCAGCGAAGGCCCTGCTTGGCTTGAACGTCTAAACGTTGTCCGTACGTAGTCCAAGACATGACTCGCACAGGCTTCATCACATTGAGACGTCATGCGCTTCCCGAAGCCGACCATCAAACTGCTGGTGCCGATGCAAGACGCGTTCCTCCGGCGCTGATCGACACGACTACTTGAGAGCTCCGTGTGAAAAACTGGCGCTCGCACCCACAATTTTCGTCCGCCATGCAAACCTTGACCAGCCGCAGCATCCTTCGCGCCCCGGTTTCTAGAGGTCATCTTGCGACCCACATTCCCCGACGCATCGCACGGCGGACGTTCCTGACGATAATTGAGCAGGGCAAGGAGGGATGGCGGCTCAGGTATGTCATACATCAAGCTACAATGGTCTTCTTACACACTCTGCGCAGCCTTGGCCGTAACCCCGTGCGCCTCACCCCAGGATTGAATATCAATATCCCGATCTACCACTCTGTGCAAAAGATAGACTTGCGGGAATCCTCCATTCTCATACCAAACGTGCGCTCGTCGACCCGTCTCGCACATGCAGTGAAAAAGTCTAACTTATTCGAAAGCTGCCTGGGTACACGGCCGACAATGTCCCAGTGACGTGCTCGGGGTCACTGTTTTACCGCATTGTGGACGGATACAAAGCCTGTTTCTCGGTCAGCGATGTGCAGAACAACATCCGGAATACAGGAACGTCGGCGGTGCGTTCTGTATTGGGGCATTTTACCTACGATCAGGTTCGCTTGTCCGTTTTCGATGTCTGAGCCCAGCGTGAAGGAGGCACGCAGGTGATCAGTGACCGAAACGAGTTGAACAAGAGACTGAACACGGTCATTGGAAACTCTATCGTGGTAGGACGATTGTCTTGAAGCTGTCTGCATGATTGAATCGTTTTCAGAATTGGGGAGTGGAGTGTACTCGTTTCGAAATCCAGTCTTTCCAACCAGCCAATCGAGAAGTGGAGGTACACCTTGTCTTCTAGCTGCCGCATCCTTGCTCACATTATCCAAGCGCCAATTGGAGCTCCAGATGGAAGCGGAGCGTAATCGTCGCAAGCAACTATTAGACACTCAGGCGAACATCAATATTGCAGAAGGTCAAAAGCAGCGCGTCATCTTAGAAAGCGAAGGTCATGTAAGTCTCGAGCTCCTGCCAGATTGACTCTGTCTGACAATGCTTGCAGTTGGCAGCTAAGGCCAACGAAGCTGACGCTGCTTACAAAACTGTGGTGCGCGAGGCGGAGGCCAGACAACAGCAGGCCGTGATGGAGGCTTCCGCGCTGGCCCGCCAGATCGAGTCCCTCTCGGAAGCCATTGCCAGTCCTGGCAGTGCGCCCGGGCCCTCAGAACGCAAGCAAGCGCTCGAAACCCTCGTAGAGCTGCGGCGTCTCGAACAACTGCGTGCCATTGCCAAGGGCCAGGGCAACTCGACTTATTTCTTCGGAGATCGCTCCTCTCTGGGGATGGGCGGGTCGGCAACCGAAGCGTATAATCTGGACTACGCTGAACAGATCAAGAATGGGCTTCCCAAACCTGCGAAGCCAATGGTCGGATCCGTGGTCGTGTCTGCTTGAGATTTCGATCTGAGCACAATTCCCCAAATATGTATCGATAAATAACCCCACTTCTATGTATCCAGTTGTACTACCAATGATTGCACTAGTGCTTTTCCGTCTCGACTCTTCAGTTCACTATGGATCACCTGAATAGTGCTGTTGGTGATGACATCATCGACGACGAGGGTCTCTTCGACATGGAAGACTAGGTATCAACCGAGAACTCTCCAGCTGGGCCGCTAAGGACTAAACATGATGTCACTTCCATCATACTTGCCCCATTACTTCTCTCTCCTCTACAATCATGTCCATTTTCAATGCCACCTCCAATGCGACTGAAGTTGTCACCGCGTTCGCTGACGAAATACGCGGAAAGAATGGTTTGTGCCGGGCAACTTTGCACTGCTGCAGATTGCAGGATTGACATAGCTCAGTCCTCATCACTGGAACCTCTCCGAACGGCCTCGGCTACGAGACCGCGAGAGCGATCGCGCAATACGCCAATCTCGTTATCGTAACAGGATACGATCGGAAACGGTCAGTCCACGATTCTTCTTTCATGACAAAGACCCATTGATGCAAACAGACTGGAGGACACAAAGCAACTACTTTTGGTTGAAGTACCGAACGCACAAGTCCGGACCCTCTCCTTGAATCTTGTGTCTATGGATGCTGTGCGAGCGGCTGCTGCCGAGGTCAACGCCTACCCGGAACCCATACATGCGAGTTGCTGTACGCACAGCCGACGCCCGATGACTTACCGTCCCAGGTTCTCATCAACAATGCGGCATCCTCGATCTGTGCCTTCCAGCTCACTGCAGATGGTTTTGAGCGCCAGATCGCAACAGACCATCTCGGTCCATTTCTGTTCACATCCCTGATTCTTCCGAGGATCCTCGCTGCGGGCTCCGAGAGCTATACGCCCCGGATAGTTTTCGTGGCCAGTGGAGCCCATGCATGGTGTGATGGGGTCGATTTGGCTCAGATTGAACACCCCGACGAGAGCAAATACGAACCTATGCGCGCATATGCCCAAGCCAAGTCCGCCAATATACTCACGGCAAGTGAACTTGCACGCCGGTTCAAAGGCCAAATCAATGCATACAGTCTCACCCCAGGAGGTGGGCTCGTGGTGCTTCCCATCAAAGCCCTCGCTGACTTCAGATGTAGCTGTTATGACGAACTTTGTCTCCAGTCCGGAAGCAAGGAGCGAGTTATTGAAACACGGTGTGTCCGCTCCAACAGATTTCGAAGACTTAGTTTATTCCCGCAGGGATCATCACCGACGATGGTCAACCGAATTTGAATTCGAATCTGAAGTGGAAAACGTTGGCGCAGGGAGCATCTACGTCAGCCTTTTTTTCTTGCTGAGAAGCACCCTGGACTGTTGAACTTGGACAGGACGCTAGTTGCAGCATTCAATCCCCTCTTAAATGGCATGTTTCTGTTGAAACTGGTGCTCTCATCTCACTTATCTCCGCGCAGATAAATCTGGCTGTTATCTCCGAGATTGTCTTGAAGAAGAAACGAGCGTCAAGGATCACAGCAAAGATCCGGTAGGTTCCATCTCCTGGTGCCCTTGTGACCGTCATTGATCCCCGCCGTTTTCAAGGCAACGGCTCAAGCTCTGTGGACTCTCAGTGAACGTCTCGTCGGAAACTCTTTCTCGTAGAGTGATTAATTACGCGGTACATAAAAATTGGTAGGAGACGAAATCGAACATGCCGCCGGCCATCAATCAAACCGCTGTGATTCCCTTGATGGATTCTGACGTCTTACGTGATCGATTTATGGCTCTTACCCTCGGAGATGTCGTGCCTTTGGCAGTCTTGCTTTCATACTTCACGATCATCTTATCACTTTTAGCCGTGATATGCCGGAGCCTGGTTTCATTAAGACGGTCTCTGGACAGTAGAGCCTATGTATTCGTCGCGCTCACCCTCGCTTCATTCGCCCACACCTGGTTCTGTCGGTCCACCTTCTTCCCACCCAAGACACCGAACTGATGCGGTCCTGGACAAATTGTAGACATGTTCAAGTTCATGTTTGCAAGTATCTGGGAGTCAAGTCTCGATTCACGCGCCTGACACCTCTGTAGTGGAGTTTTGCCAATTACGAGCTCGCCAGGGGCTACATTCCCTCATCCCAATCCCTGATCCGACGGATGAGTCTATGGCTTTTCGACACGTCTTTATTTGAGCAAGCGTGGGCAGCTGTCTGCTTCGGAGAGTTCAATTGGTGGTGGAGTCAACAGCTCTGCCTGTTCACAGTCGGGGCATGGACAATCTTTCTTGCAACAGAAGGCAAGTAACCCCTTCGGCTGTCTGTCCAGATATGAATACTGTTCCAGGCCGGAAACACCAGGTCAAACTCGTATGGGCTTACATGCTGCTGGGCCAATTAGTCGCCATTTCCGTCGCGTCCAATTTGTTCTACTTGGCTCTCGTGCTCTCTCCGCCAGTGTCTGGAAGTCGTACCAACGCGAAGGCCTCGCCTGTACTTTTCGCCTGTGTCTCTATGGCACTCGGAGCGGTGTACCTCAGTCCTTGGACGGATGGGACGACCTTCCTCCCCAATCTACTCGTAATGCACGGTGTCATTATGATTCCTTTGCTGCTGCCTGCGAAGTTCGTCAAGAATTCCGAGAGGTCTGTGCTGTCTGTCCCGCTTCCCATGATGCACATTCTCGTTTTTGCAATCGCACTCGCCCTGCACACGCGTTCGACGGCGACTGCTCTTGGAGATCCCCCCATGTCGGTCCTTGATTTCGTCAACAAAGCGTGGTCCACGCTCCATTCCCACCCGGCGCAAGCCTCCATCGGCTGGGACATTATTTGGACCAGCATATCGTTCGTGGTGTGGATTGTGATGTTGCCGCAAGAGCAAGCTGGACAGCGCATCGCAGTCGCCCTATTTTTGTTGCTGGCTACGCCGCTGGTCTCCGTGGGAGTGCTCGCCCCACACATCCTCAGGCCGTCAGAAGAGGAAGTTGAGGAGAAGAAAAATGTTTAGAGCCGCGGATGTAATCTACTACTTGGTAAACTATCATGTAAAGATTGAGTAGGCCGCAATGTAAGTAAACAAGGCTCTTTTCAAGATCAGATGGCACGCCGGCTTGGATCTCGGTCATGTCCTCTGAAAACTTCCAATTCTGCAGCATGGTAGCGTCAAGGAGTCCACTCAAGCCCCCAAACCTCGCGCCTCGCGCAGCGAGCATCCCGCGTGGTCACGCGATTTCAATGTTGTTTAAGCGGAACACGAGAACAATCACCTAACAACAACGCGTGTTCCCCTGAGACCCGCCCATGGATGAGGAAGACACGCTCACTCGCGCCATTACTCTTGTTGAAGCAGTTTTTAATCAAGTGTCTAGCGAGTTTGCCATCTGGAAGGCCGATCACGCTGCTCGCATACTCAGGAATGTGGCATCCGACGATCCCTCCGTTGCGAGGACGGTCGGAGCCAGCATGAGTGCTCGCATGCCAAGTACTACCACTCTCAGCATTGCCGAGCCCTCGGCACTGGCTGTTTGGGACTTTGAAGGCGACGGAGACACACTCGATACCACTCCGGAATACGTCGGGGTCAAGGTCATCCACGCGGATGCCTCTTTCTCTCCGGTGCCTGTCTACGAATACTGCACTCCTTCTCTACGGAATGTCAAAGTCGGCGACGATTCCTCCTCCATGCCTTTCTTACCCTTTCCGAACGACCCGCGCTTCGACTTGGCTGATTACGTGGAACTACATAAACAATGTAGCTGGGATACAGACGCTCGGCAGGCTTCAGACGATACCGATCGTGAATAGGACAAGCCTTTCAACTATTTCCGTGTCTCACGTTGCATCGTTAGTACAGGTGATAGTAGTGGAAGCTGCGCGCAGACTCCATACGCAGCATGGGATGCTCTACCGCCATATCGACGAGACTGATGCCCTTCCCATCCCTCTTTTGGATCACGACGGAGTCAGAGGAATGATCGAAAGCAGTCGCCGGCGGTATGGAGGGCACTCATATGTCAAATGCAATAATATGAACGTTTACAGTGACTTTCCTCCATGGCCAAAAACCGTTCCTCCCACTCAGAAATTCCTTCGGGACGACGACACTCTCAGCCCCGATACTTCACCCAGTCAGATACTCAACCAGTTGATTACGAATTTCTGCGGAAACCTCAATTGCGTGATACCGTTCTGCACCACGCACTGTGAGCTTCTCAAACTGGGTTCTGAACGGAACTGAACGGCCGCCTAGTGGAGCCTCAGACGATGCCTCTGCGAGTAGAATCTTCGGTCAAGAGCTCACGCATGAGAGCGCTTGCCCTCAGAACGAAAACGCCCTGTGACGATGAGTGCTTCTTGCTCAGAGAGCTTGATGCTACATGTGTCAGTCCAGACACCATCCATCAACTCGCTGCCTTCTCAGGATTCATCAGCCGCCTGTTTCGTGGAGCAAAGTCGACCTTGACCTTCTGGAAACGTTGCTCGAGCTAACTCCTGATATGCTCCCTTGTCGGCTCGCGGAAGTGATCAAGAGACCCTGCTTTGAGGTGCGTCGAATCGATGCAGAATTCATTTGAGCTGCCTTTAAGTCTCACTCCAGATTTACAAACTCCGAGCAACGATGCTGCCTGAAGATTCGGAAGAACAACAAAGGCGGAAACGAGCCCCCAGCAGACCCCAGAAAACACTCAGATTCCGAGGTTTGAATCGTTCCTTGCGAGCCCTGTCTGTACTGATGATTCCCAGATCTCGACCGAAATGGCTTCTCTCCGTAAGTCTCACTTTGCACATCTCCTGCAGTCATTATTCAGGGAGAAAGGAACGTCCCATGTCGACACGAAGGTCCTTGTGATGGGTCTGCGGACTGCGCATGCTTCGAGAACAGCTCACATTGCGAGAGCAGCTGTCGTTGCAGCAAGAAATGTTTATTTCATACCCTCACATTGATCCAAATGTATTCAGATTTCTACACAGGCCTCCGTCGTTGGCGTGGCTGTACGTGCGCCTCGAAAAGCAAGCGATGCTCGACGAAAACCTGCGCATGCCGATTGGCATATCGAGAATGCGATCCGGAACTCTGCCTCCGCTGCAAGGCACGGTATGTGGAAATTTAGCCATTTGTGAGACTAAACATGCTGACCATCTCTCAGAGGTGAGTCCCCCCCATGACCGCTATTCCTTCTCTCAGGTTCAGACGATTTGGCTGGCCTGTGCTGCAATTCCGGTATCCAGCGTGGGCGTTGGAAACTCACCAAGGTCGCACCAGCTACATACGGGCTAGGCCTCTTTGTCCAAGAACATGTGTCCAAAGACGAGTTGATCATTGGTGTGGCCTTTTCGCGCTCGCTAGTCGAGGTCTAAAGCTTTCCCATGGCAGAATATCTCGGCGAACTCATCTTCGAGGCTACTGTCGAATCTCGGGGGCAAGTATGAGCGGTGCACATCCACGAATCTTTGCCTGAACGATTCTCAGCCTCATTGCGTCCCATCGAGATCGAAGTTATGCTTTCGATCTGAACGAGACCATGCGTGTGGACGGAACGTACTTGGGGAACGACTCTCGGTTCATCAACCACGACGACGGAGAGCATGTCAACTGTTGTGCTAAAGGTAAGCGTGCGCCCTGGACGCACCCAATCGGCGCTCACCCCCTCCATAGTTCTTCTAGTAAACGGGGAACATCGCATCGGTTTTTTCGCCAGTGAGTTCCTGGTAGTAGGCGAAGTGGCATGGCAGCTGACTGCATCAACAGCTCGAGAGATTAATCCAGGCGAGGAAATTCTATTTTCCTACGGCAAGAAATTCTTCAAGTAATCCACGAACCAATTGTCCAAATATACAACATATCCCAGTAGATTGGAGTAGATAGACGACTTCATTTCACAATGGAGTTGACGCCGCGTGCTTATAGAGCGATCCGTTCAGAACTGAAACCCCTCGGGGACTGAAATGCTCACCGGCTAGATGATCCTTCACTGCACTGGCACTCTGCAAGAACGATGACTCAGTATAAGTTGAGAATGGGAGAAACATGGGGGGGAGAGCTCACCATCCCTCGGATTACTTCGAATACACTCTTATCATAATACCTCAACTTGGTTGCAGGATCTGTGTACGGGGCCTGCAGTTGATAACATAAGTGGCATTCTTGGCAATGAATAGAATGATATCCAACCTCTAGTCCCGTTATATCGCAATAATGCTGTTGAGGTAACAAAGACGGCGGCGCTTCGATAGACGTGTCTGTCGATATGAGGAGTAAGTTCAACGAATATGAATCGAAGCCACGGCCTACATGTCGGGAACTCCTCTTCATCCTCCAAAGGTTTTCCGTCCACGTCCATATTACTCTCCAATCTCTCACGTCGTTTCTCTCGCTCTGTGCGCTCTCGTTCGCGTTCTTGAGTCAGCACGGCCTTCAAGTTCTTCGATCGGCGTGCAGTTTTCTTGGCATAGTTAGGATTCTTGAACGGTCGCGGATTGTCCAAGTATGAAAGTTGCTCAGCGAGACTCTGTTGAAAGATGGCATGATTCGACCGTTAGATTGAAAGTCCTTTCAGTCGTGCGGATGAGCGCACAGGCAATTGAGGGGTAGAGGCGCCATCAGATGCCACAGCGGGCTTCTTCTTCTGAAACCCTTTGGGAGGCCTGCTCAAATCCGTGAAAAACGCGTCTCTCAATGAATCTCGACAGCACACTTACATGGTCGCTTAAGCTGAACAAGTGCACGTAAAGGTCATGACGTGAGCCAACAGCACAGCTGATGGCATCGACGCAGACAAAATTTTGGTCAATCACCACCACTCCCTCGGGAATCTCTCCTTGGCTCTCGGAAGGCATGGTCTCGACAGACAAGTTCGGGAAGAAAAGGTCAGCTGCCACGCAAGGTGGTCCGAGAGCGAAGAAGGCGCATCTCGAGAAGCGTGCAGCGTCCGAGGTCAAATCGACGAAGAAACGCAGCCAGCCGGTCACGAAGGCAGTAGTCGAGGAAACCGATTCGGACCAAGAAGATGAGAATATTGAATTCGATGTTGCGGAAGAGGATGGGCATGGTTCCGATGTAGAGATGGATGGAGAAGAGGACGGCGAGACTGTCGCCGTGCCAGTAAAAGATCCTAATGGTACGTGCTGCAGCATTCCCTTCTCTTGCTATCATTGTCCTCATTTTGTTCAGCCAGCCGGGAAGCGCACAAAGCTCAGAAAATTCTCCAAGAACAGCGAAAAGCCGGCAAGCCGCATTCCACTTTGCTCGTCGATGCCAAACGGGTATGGCACCAGGCCAATTCGAAGAGCATGAGCCAGGCAGATCGTCAAAAACATATCCAGGCGCTCATGGACGTCATCCGCGGAAATGTAAAAGACATCGTTTTCAAGCACGATGCTAGCCGGATCGTCCAGACTGCTGTGAAGTACGGACAACAGAAAGAGCGAGATGAGATCGCAACAGAACTGCAGGGCCGTTATAAGGACCTGGCCCAGAACAAATATTCCAAGGTATGACCAAAGTCTATTGGAACGGAGCAATGTACCTGACATGCAACCCTCAGTTTCTGGTCACGAAGTTGATCCGACTCTGTCCTGCGCATCGCGCATCAATCCTGAAGGAGTTCCAAACCCATGTATTGCGCCTGCTCCTCCACAGAGAGGCATCCTCAGTACTAGCGGACGCATTTGAACTCCACGCGAACGCTTACGAGCGCACTTTACTCGTGCGGGACTTCTACGGGAAGGAGGTTAGCTTATTCACTGTGACAAGTGGGAGCGAGACGGACAAAGACCAAGCGAGGAAGGGGCTTGCCGGTGTGCTCGAGAATGCCGATCCTGAACGCAGAAAGCGAATTCTTACCGCGGTCAAGGAAGCACTGGTCTCAATGTGTGTGTGCTATCAATGTCTCATTCTCGTTCTCACGAGTCACAAGCTTCAACAACTCCGACAAGGGGGCCGTTACTCATGCGGTCGTGCATCGGGCCCTATGGGAGTACATTGTTGCTGTCACTAACTCACCGGACGAAGCAGAGGGCGAAAAGAACATGCGAGAGATCTTTGAATTGTACGTATGATTGCACATCTTCGGTCCTGCGCTTCATGTTGGCCTGCTAGATGTCAAGATGTTCTGGCAGAGCTAGTGCATACGAAGGATGGGAGTCGTGCAGTCCGAGAGTTTCTTGCACGAGGCAGCGCAAAAGTATGTTGGCTGGTACCTTGCTTGATCGCTTCATTGAATCGCAATCCTCAGGACCGAAAACAAATTCTCAAAGTGCTGAAGCCCCATGTCGAACGCATGTGCACCGATGATGAAGCCCAGATGGTACTTTTCACTGCGTTGGATGTCGTCGAGTAAGAGGCAGCGATTCTCTCTGGTATGAAAGTTCATGTCTAATCATTGATCCAGCGACACTAAGCTCGTCGTGAAAACACTTGTCCCCGAAATGACCACTCCTGCGAGTAAACTGTGCGAAACACCTCAAGGACGACGCGCGTTGCTCTATCTTGTTGTACCCAGGACGCGTCGACACTTTACTCCTGCCCAGATCGCCGCACTGGCTGAGACGGATGCGACGAGAGTCAAAACGAGCAAGAAAGCGAGCGAAGTGCGGGAGGCCGAGATCCGATCAGGTGCCAGTGAAGCACTGATTAAATGGGTCAAGGACAAAGGCGCATTGTTGTTGAGAGAACCTGGTGCCAGCCTGGTTTTGGCGGAGATCATGCTGTTTGCTGAAGGCGGTGAGTGTTTTCTAACGACTTCATCTCTAACTCCACTCACCACCATCTCTGCAGACAAAAGTGCCGCCAGCGAAACTCTCTTGAGAGCAGCCTCGACAATCTACCCGTCCGAAGACGAACAACATCCTCATCCCATCGACCTGCCGCATAGTTCCCGACTGTATAAAACTCTACTGCAAGGCGGCCACTTCAATCGTGGAACATCCGCCATCGACAAATCACCCAATTGGGACTCGCAAGTCTTTGCTGAGAAATTCGTCGAGACCATTGGACAAGATGTTTCTGTGGCGATGTGCTGCAAAGGCGACTGCAACGGAACTTTCGTCATCGCTGAATTGTGTGGCGCTCTGATTGGCACAGCAAGTTCGTCCACGCACAGTGTCAAGCAATGGTTCAGTTCCGCGGTTCAAAAGGAGATCGAGGCGAGGGATGGCAAGGGGAAGAATGTCTTGCTGCAACGCATCGCTGCCTTATGAACATGTCTATCTATTCTCGTGCTGTACCCTATATACTGTATGCATGGGATGCTAGCCAGTACTGCACGCTTATCGCACTGTCGGCTTCCAATCATGAATGTCAAACTAGATTCAAGCACAAGCACAACAGGATCATCGCTTTCAATACAATCTTTGACACCGCCAATGGTAGATGGATGGGTCTTTGGTCACCTGACATCCTCGTGCACGGTCGTCACGTATAGGAATCGTTATTGTCGTTATCTGACCTGAAGTTCAACTGCGCGAGTCACTCTCATTGATTATTCCTCACGGACCATCGCTCACCTCTGATGCGCAACCAGACCAACCCAATGATCTGTTTGTTGAATTCATTTCTCCGTGTGAACTGCGTGCTGTACAGAGTTCTGATCTCCAGGACTCTGTCAGTTGTCAAACAGCAGGTAGTAAGTATTCCGAGGCAGTGTAGATAGCATCCCGAATGCGGCTCTTACGCGGCGGCGTGGCTTCAGGGACCGCTAATAAGGTCGCAGCACTTATAGAGTCCTTACCTCTTCCCATCATCTCGTACTTGGCCGGGTCAGAGCGCGTCGCAATGCGTGAGTTGAATCGTTGATCGTCTCCGCCTCTGTTTTGTATCGTTGGGCTGATCTGACTCGCAGGGGTGTGGCACCCTCTCGCTTTCTTTGCTTCCGCTGCGCCGCTCGTATTTGCAAATGTCAACTTCGATACCTGCCTTGCAGACATACACCAAGGACTTTGGGGCGACACTGGGGGTACTGATAACTATGGAAATCCGGTCTCCAATATCTCTCAAGCCACTGCCATCACTTATGGGTTGTGTATCAAAGCCTGTGGTGCCGGGTCAGAACCATTCGATTGGAATATCTTCTCTCAGCAGTTCAGGTGTGTCCGGCATCGCGGAGATATTGTATATGCGCTCCAAATCGATTGCGTTGTAGCGCGTGGCTCCTGCCGTATCTTGCCCTCATTTCTCAACTTCCATTCGGAGCGCAGAGCAGACTGGATAATCTAGTTTCCATGTCAGCTCCTTCGGTGCCAGCCTATTATTCTTTTCTGTTTTGACTGTCAGCCAGGTTACTCACTTTGGGAAGCCCAACCTTGGCCGCGTATTCATTGGCCCTGACTGTCCTAAACGGACACTGGATCGCGCAGCGCTTTTCACACATCAGATATCCGAACGTGAAGGAGGCTGTCAAGATCTTGAGTAGCTTACAACAATCTGCGCTCCGTGTGGTCTGCGAGGAGTCCCTCCTCGCGTCCCTTGTTGTCCTTCACGAGAATGACGATTGGTGGTCAGAACTGAGCATCTGGTTGAACTATGTTCACACTTGGTTCGTTCTTTCGACCGAAGGGGGACATGCACTCAATCTTTTGTTTCCCGCTCTTACCAGGTCTATCTCTGCTGTCGCATCAATCATCTGGGTCGTGACTGCATACATATTCACTGTCGTCGACTCGTTCACTAGTGCTCAGAACACCAACTCGACGCTTAATGCGAATGGTCAAGCCATTGGCTCGATCTTTTTATGGCTGCTCCCGGTCGTAGTCGGTGCGTGACCCAGACCGTACTCGAAACTGGGATTCGCTGATCGTCATCAGGCTGGCTTCAGATCAGTCCCAAATGCGACCACGATCGTGTTCACCAAGCACTGGATCGCGCAAATAAGATGGCCTACGTCGCCAGTGACGATGGAGAACCGATCCTGGCATCCAAAGTATCGAGACAACGCGCCATTTACCTCCAGAAACGCTTAGGAGAGATTCATCGAGACCAGGTGAGTTTCCATTGTGATTCACCTGTCTGTAGAGACTGAGCAGAACTTGAGCAATCTACAGCCCCGATATACAATTACGCACGCTTTTTACCGTGGGCTGCTGCCGTCGAAGATGTGTACCTGGCTTTCCGCGAAGCATCGGAGCGCACTGACCGCCACGAACCGGTTGATAAACAAGGAGTTTGGGAGCACGGAGATAGGCACTGGAGCATCCATCCTCGAAACCGACGCGGATCCACCACTCAGGTCTCAGACTACGTGAAGATGCGGACGTCTGAGATCCCGTCGCCACGTCGCAGTCGCTTGGGCCCAGGTGTGCTTGCACGTTTTCTGCTCGCCTCCATTTTGGCCATCTGTTTGACCTGGGGCAGTGTTGGTGCTGCAGTGCTGGTTGCATTCTTTACACCCACCAAGGGTAGTGTTTTCTTCGGTGATGATTATCACTGCAGCTGATCGACCTTTTGCAGGGATTGCGTGCAGATCGGGGAGTTATCTCCTCTACGGAACCTGTTCAACTCTAGTCTGGATGTTACTCGTCATTTCTAGTGGATTAGCCCACTATGCCTCGTTCGCCAAGAGCTATCGGGGAAGATATATACACACCAGGACGACACGCGTAGCGGGCATTCTTGCGATCACACTTCGCAGAGTGGGCAAGATCCTGGCGGCTCTCAACTCCGCCTGGATCTTGGCCGCGTGTTTGTTCCAATTCGGCAGCTTCTTCGATCGTTGTTGGTGTAACAGGCAAGCGTCAATAACTCGATATCCGGTGCAACGGCTCTAATTGCTCTTTTCAGTTCTGTATTCTACCTTGGAAAAGATGCATATAACGTGATCTCAATCTCGACAGCTGATGTGGCAGCTTTGAATGCTCCGTGGATTGGTGAGTTCTTACACCATCTAAACCTCCTCAGTTTCGAATCTGAGGTGTATGTCTAGGTGGTGTCACACTTGCTAGGTTCGTCCCCTCGCTCGATTGGCCTGTGCAGCTCTGAATGTGCTCTAGTGGTGTCTCTATCCTCTTCATGGCCTTCGTCAGTGTTCTGATAAATCCCAATCTGCCTGACATGTGAGGTTGAGCCATCGAAGGTGATAAATGATATGTCTAATTTATCTTGTTGTATGTAATCTGATGTAATTTCGACTCTCCCAATGTTTTGGGTTCAATGAACTATGAAGGGATCCGAACCAGGATAAACTGAAGCAGAACTCGGAAGGCTCCCGCTATAATCTGATGACGTTTGATTGACACCTCAGCGATAGGGGTCTGTCCGTTGGTTCCTTTCTCGTGTCTTACCCTCACCGTTCACTCTCTTTTCGTCACTTCCACAATGCAGCCTCGAGAGATAGAATCCTCGCCGAGGGAAGTTGCCGCGGTCGTCACCTTCTACATAGTCGCCGCCCTTGTCGTGAGTCCCCATTGTCCCGAACTCAGTCCGGCAAATTCATGCCTGTCGCAGATGATCATCGTGAACAAGGCGGTTCTGAACGATACGCCTGAACTTCCCTTCACGCTCCTTGTAAATCTTACGTCTCCTGCGGAAATGCAAAGGCTCACCTGAGGGACACATGGCAGTTCCTCCAAACCTCTATCGCCGTTTTCCTTCTGCGGCTGCTCGCATTCGTCAATCGAACGGCTCTCGGACAGACCATCCCTGGCTCTTTCAACTTCGAGCTCCCTATGTTCAACCGCGGGACCATCCTCCGGATCCTGCCGTACCTCTGTGTGGGTCTGATCGGGCTTGTGTTCAACACACTCTGTCTTGCAAATGTGGATGCTGCATTCTTCCAGGTGCGTCTTGCGTTAAATAAACCGGCATATCATGTGTGGAAGAGCGCATTGTAGATTGCAAGAGGGCTGCAGTTGCCCTTCACTATCCTCATCTCATCGGCGCATATGGGTCAAACGCCTCCGAAGCAGATCATCCTGAGCGCTTTCATCGTCACATTCGGATTCCTCGTCGGTAGTATGCCGACGCTCCTCCCTGTGCTCTCAATCTCGTCTATATCTGATTCCGCTGGTCACTACCTCTCGCGCCAAACTGCCGTGGCCCTCATTTACGGCTGCATATCCTCATTCGTGCTCGCCCTGCATGCTGTACTCAAGAAATCTGCTCTTGTTCATGTCGGCCAGTCGGTCATCGCGCTTTGCTATTTCGGAAATCTGTTCATGGCGGTTGGGATGATTCCATGCATGGTGGTGAACGCGGAGTTCTCACTGTTGTACCAACGTTTCTTGGAGGGCACTACGGATTGGACGACGTTCGCCGTGGGCTCTGCTGTGACAGGAGTCTTCGGATTCTTGCTGGGGATTTCGAGTGCACTATCCATCAAAGTAACGAATCCCGTCACGCATATGTTCTCCTCGGTATGGCTTTCTTGCTGCCGATGTCCTCTTATTCAACTGATGGGGGGACTAGGCTGCCAAAGGCGTATTCCAGACTTTCTTGGGCATGTGGTTGTTCTCAGACATCCTTACGCTGTATGTGTTAATTGTTGTTCCATCCCGGCCCTTCCCTGACAGGGAACACAGATCTCGTGCATACTCGATTGCGATCATCACTGGGGGCACGGTGTACTTCACGTACCTGCAGACCAGGCCCAAACCGCGCGAGAGGTTGGCTGGGCCTCAGAACGACGTCGAGAAGCAGATGGACTCTGAGAAACAGATCTTATTAGAGAAGAACTCGGACTCACAGGCTTGATTGCTTAGCTTACTTGGATCATTGGGATGTACTTGTATCGAAGGGCGAGATTGTGTATTCCAAAAAAATAGCTTATAAAATACAGTAAAACTACGCTGAGTTTGCGATGACAAGCGGTATGGTATGTATGCTACGGAGTGTTGCGCAAAAGATGGAGATTGGAAGTGGTTTACTATTACACAGAGACACCCGGAGAGCCCATGCCCTTGAGGACATCCACAAACGTCCCAAAAGCAGATCCCCCCTTTCTCCCGGAGGTGCCTTTTGACGAGCTCGAGAGCGAGCGTTGACGAGAGATGGCATTGGGACGCCGTGACGAGGCGTCTGATGTGACCACGTCCTGGATGTTTGATGTGGTCCGGGCTAGCCGGCCCGGTCGGTGTGGCATCGGTGGGGTGTCGCTCAGAGGAAGAGCAGGGCGGGAAACAGACGAGGTCGAAGCCGATTTCGCACGCGTTGGACTGGGTCTCATTTTGGGGAATGAACTAGGAGGGTGGTCGGTGACGGGGACGTCTGCAGGGGCCGATACGATCCTCGCGTGTGACGACGGGGATTGGGCCGGCCTGGGAAGCAAGGCAGGAGAGTAAGGGCCGGCTGCAAGTATACTCGCTGCCAACGGAGGGATCAAGGGGAGAGGTTTCTGCGTCACGCTGTCATTTTCGTTGTCAGTCGACCTTTCGAGGGATGGTTCACGGGAACTGGATGCACTTGCAGGCACAAGCAGTCTGCTCGCGTCCCTGGCCTCACGCTCTCTTCGACCAGTGGCGCCAAGAACAACGCACGCGGTGTTGGTGCTACCTGTCACACGATGAGTTTGGGCTGTCAACGCCGCGGACAACAGTGGCGAAGACTTCTTCTCCCCGTCGGCGACGACATGAATGCTGATGTCGCTACCTGCGGGGCTGGGGACCGGTGTCGTCCTCGGCGTGCTTCCACGCGATGAGGGAAGAGGAAATAGGTCGGCGTCATCTTCGATAACTCGTGGGCGGGGCAGGATGGGGACCGGCTGCGCCAGTGGTGTCCTGGTACTTGGGCCGGGATACTCGTCCTCGCTGGCGAGATCTACCGCCAAAGCCAGGCTCACTCGACGTCTTTCCTTATCAACTTCATCGACAGCGATCCCCAGCGGCAAGAGAGGGCTGGCTCGTCCGCTGCCGACACGAGGTGTCCCAGTTGCCGAGACGCGGCCGATGGCCGGACCGAGCAATGAAATCTCCTGTTTCTCCTCGCACGGCGTGCCTAATGGACTCGGATCCGGAGTAGGTGACTTGCTTCCGTTTCGAGCGCGCTTGGCTCTCTTCTCTTCCAGAGCCGCTACGAGACGATTCACCTCTGCTAGCCCCGTGCCAGAAATTAACTTCCCGGCGTCTTCATCGAGGTCATCTTCACACGCAGCTGGCAGGTCAAGATATCCACCTCTCCTTGCTGCTTCCAATAAGGAGTCCCCGATCGGCAACGTGCCTGGTGCGGCTCGTCTGCGCATGCGCATTGCCCCACGTGAGAATGCTTCGTCGACAACGTCGGCTCGGAGCCCGCATTCTGGGCAGCACGCTCGCAATGGAATGCGTTCGGCCTGGTTGGGAGAGTTGACAGCAGAGATGGTAGTCGAAGTGCTTGGTGAGGTGAATATAGTCGAAAGGGAGATGAGTGGACTATGGGGGATAGCACCGAGCGTTTCCTGAACGGCTGGCTGGTCTCGGACGAAAAGAGTGTCGTTCTCGTACCCAATCGGCGGAGAGGGTGGGTGCTCTGCAAGGGATGGTAGATTGGGTTGGATGGAAACGGATGTGTTCGGTGAGCGTAAACAAGAAAGTAGCCCAACGGCTGGAGATGGCGGAGACCGTGAGTTATTCCGACCCCCACGTTCTCTTGAATGCGAAGAATGTTTCTTGCCCGATGAGAAACTGTGTAACTGGTGATCAGCAGGGGAAGAAAAAAACCACCAGGGTCGATCATGACATGATAATGGCAATAAGGAGAATATGTATGGCCTGAGGGCAATCGGCACTGGACATCGGACCCGTCAAAACATTGTATCGCCTTTCAAGACGCTAATCAGTCACGCCGTAGATCGTCGTCGGCTCAATGATCAGTCAACCCCGCACATAACCCCATAGAGACGGAGATCATAAGCGTCCATCGGACACCGATAGAAGAGAGAATGTCTGTAGAGAAGGAGGGTATCTGTGATGGAAACAGAAACAGTCCATGGAAGTGAAGACAGCGAACGAGACGGAGACCGACTGGGAGAAACGAGAGGTGGCCGAAAGCAGTGAAACCTACCTCGGTAGCGCGACTTTGATAACAAGATGCTCGTCTTCACCAGCGGAAGTCCTCTCTTCTCGAGGTTTCTTCCAGAACGGCAGAGCATAGCTCTTTGTGACGATCCGAGGTCGCCTAGAGTTTGATGATGGGCCTTGTTCGGGGATGAGAACGCATTCGGCGTCAAAGCGGACGCGGGCAGCGTGGGTGGACGCATACGCAGATGCAGAGGTGGAAGAGGATGAGAGGGAAGCCATTGGGGTAGTGAAAGTAGATGTTCGCGAGGTACCACTGAGGGATCTAGAACCCACGACGGACGGTGCTCCAGTGAGCGTCGTGGTCGTAGAAGACATCTTTCGGTAGTCGGATGTCCTCCCTTTCGTAGGTAGTAGAAGAAAGAAGTATGTAGGGGAAAAACGTCAACCACAAGTGCAGGTGTGGTGCGTCTGCAATGGGACGACGTTCACCGTGACAGACTGCGTGATATGCGAAAGCTGATGTCTTCTGTCACACTGCCATGTAATGAGCAGGTGGCCCCCAGCCTCGGTCCCTTTTCCGGACCTTTCGCTTCCGTTCGAATCTGTCGGATTAGAGGTTCGCTGTCTATCGTGAAGCCAAGTGTTTTCTTGTGCTGCTGGTTAAGCTCTTACTATGACACCGGCAATCCTCTGAATACGAGATGGCCATGCTTCATTTGGAAGCGCCCCCAAGTGCACTCCTCGGTTCTTCTCGCCCTCTTGTCTTCTTATCTTCAGGCGAAACTTTTGCTTTGGTTTCCGAACGTCGGGCTGCGGATGCTGGCCGGGGGATGGCCGGCTTCCACAGTGTTCCCAGATCGGTGACATGGAAGGGGCAGTCCGCACGATAGGTAAGATTATTGTCGGCTTCCAGACTCGAGTTCGTTCGGTTCGCCTGATCTGTGGCAACCGTAGCGTCGGACCACTCCGTGTATGTAGCATTCCTTAATTTTATCATCTCATCGGAGATAATATCCTGAGGTTGTGAGCACGGTCTTTGGCAGGAACTGGCTTATCTATTTTTCCTGTTCTCTTCATATTCATCGTCGGCTGGGCCTAAAAGACATTCTGTACATATAAGTTCTCACGTTATAAATGCGGAATTCTAGCATCCACAGTCAGGTTGTAAACAGGAAATTGCGACAGGATCGCGTGGCACGGTGCGTCGGAAATCTAAAAGACATATGGCTCCAAGCGGCGCAGACATCTGGGTTGTGGATGGAGGATGTCGTCATCATAAACGGGGGGCCAAGGTGGCCTAGGAGGAGGCGATTGCGGTCGTGGATCAGCTCGGCGATTAAAGTAGGGCCAAGTCGGAAGATAGCAGAATTCCTCAAAGCTGCATGCTGGCTTACATTTGACCCACACACTCCAGTCCAGCCAAGTGATCAGTGCAGCGATCTTTGTACGCCAGCGTTCGACAAGCACTGCCTCGTCAACGGGCCTGAAGCCCGAGTCTGCAGGATACATGTCATCCAAACCGGCAACGACGCCGTCTGCCCAAAGGCCGACGACCACCCGGCAGATCTCGTGGTTTACTTCCTCCGCCGAGTCGAGCAACAGTCGCTCGGCCGCCGTCAGTGAGCCGTACAAGCGGGCGCTGTTTCGTATGTAGGATGTGTGCGAGGTGGCACAGAATTCAAAGATGGGAGACGCCCATGCTTTGGATGCATCCACTCTGCTGCCCGGTTTCGCCGAATGTATTAGATACGGGGCCAGCATAACATTGAAGAGTCCCGTAGCACGCTTTGCAGTCGCAAGGGCACCCCTAGTCGAGTTGGAGAGCACGTATTGCACGAGTTCTAAACGTTCCGCATATCGGTCCACGACGACTTTGAAGAGAGTATCCCAGTCGATGCCGCTTCCTTGAGTGATCATTGAAGAATCGTAGGCCTCTATGAGGCGCTGGTGGACAGCAGCAGTATCGCTGTCGCTGATGCCGAGCAGCCGATGGTCCCATCTAGTCCTGTTGAACCGGACCGCCACCAAGCTAGGAACCAGACCTGTGTCATAGAAAGATACGAGCCTGGATAGATCCAGTTGAACTCGTCTGTCACCAGGATACCGGTTGTGCCAGGAGCCAGATTGGATGACGTCCACACTATCTTGGACACCGAAGCGATCGTCGTCGCGTTCCCGCGGAGGAGCGCGTCTTGGGCTGGCGAGATTGCTCATGGACAGCACATCCACGCCAGCCGTGAAGTCGCATAACATGATCTCGCTGCAGGGATTCATCAGAAATCGCGCTGGCAGATATGAACCATACACACAAATCCATTTCCATGCGCAGAAATCCATCAATCCCAAGATCCTTTCCCCAGCTGCAAAGATCGACGATGCGAACCCGTTCCTCGTTGTATCGCTCTGGTATCACTTTGCCCCACGAAATGACATCCTGAGAATCCATGGGGCCGTTCGGCATCTTAGCAGCGCTGGACCCGTCAAAGTATAAAACCCTCAGAGGTCTTGTGGCGACCAATGTAAGATGCCAGCAGCCAGCCTCAGAGGAGCCCCAACAGAATAAGTAAGAGTGCTCCGGATCTGTCGCGGTCCATTCGGGCACTGTCGGTAGATTGGAGTCTGCGCGGCCATGATAGAGAAGCGTTCCGATAGGTACAATGCCTAGAGAATACATAGACTCGACGCATTACCGTTAGAAGCGAAATAAGCACTCACCAGGAACAACATTATGTCCGTTTCGGTACCGCGTATTTGGCCAATGTTGAAGAAACGAGCTCACAGTATCGAAGACAAGCTGGCCAGTTGCATTCGGATTGGGTTCAACATCAAAGTCCCACGTGCTGCGCTGATTGTCTATGGCGTGGAAAGGATATTGCGTCTCGGAAGCGGAAGTGAACGAGGCCAGCGCTAACGCAGCACAGACAGCAAAGACGCGGGGAACCATGGCCGGCCTCTGAGTTTAGAAGATCGGCTCAAGAAAGATCAAGATAGTCTCCTGTAACAAAAATATTTCACATGTTGGTCTTTATCATATCAGCTCGCTATCAAATCCCAACCCTAATCAATTCCCGACTAGCACCTTCCAGTCTTTCCAGCCTCTTGTTCAGCTCTTCTCTCTTTCCAGCTACGCTCGGACTCTCTTGAGCAAGCTCACGGCAGATCCGAAGACCCTCCGGGCCGTTGATGCCGAGCCCGCTGTAGAGGGTGGGCAACAGGTCGCGACCGACAGCACGGATGAGCTCATAGTCGATCGCGAGTGGAACGTTATCCGTGATGCGTTTGTAAGCAACTGCGCACCGATTAGTCGGTTATGAGGGTAGACTTGGAGACGGACCCTGGAAATAGGCTCGCACGTCCGACATAATTTCAAGTGCTGCATCCATCCGATCAGGAGGAAGCAGCTTCACGAGATCCTCCGCCTTTACACCTTGCAGTCCAACCGCAGCCAAGTTGCTCAAAGCCGTGGAGATATCGGTCTCTTCACCCCATGAAACCGACTTGTAACTCTGAATATTGCGAGCGAGACCGGGATTCTTGCTGTTCTGGCGTGTTTGCTTGTAGAATGAAAGGAATTTGGACCTGTAATCGGCAAGATAATGCTCATTCAGCGTCAAGGAGCCGCTCTGCTCCAGGGAAATGAGCTTCGCGATAAGATTCTGGGCATTTTCAGAGCATCGGCGAAGGTGTTCCTGCATGAGCAATCTGTGGAAAGTCAGCATTGGGGTCAAGATCCTGCAGCTGGCAACTTGCGTGACTCGTTGCTCCAGTGCGCCTTGTCCGAATGAGCCCAACTGCTTTGAGATGACATCCCTGATATGCTGCGAAAGGGCGGAGTGAACCATTCTGCAGAGAACTTGAGCTGGTAAGGCCCATTTTTGGGTCACTTCAGAGATGAACGAGGTCTGGACAACAAACGGATGGTGACCAGGCAGTTCACGAGTCCGTGCGCTGATAGAACTCTCATGAGAAATCACGGGCCAGATAGTTGAACAATGGGGACTCACGCCGTGGCACGTTGCATGACTTCGTCAATGAAGATGGGTTTTTCTCTGCCGGCAACCAAGGTTGTCATGCCAGATGACTGACCATCCTCATTTGTCAAAAACTGAGGCTCGTGAAAGTCTTCTATGACAGGAGAACCGCTCTCGAAAGGCCGGAAGTCAGGTGCAGTTGCGCGAATTTGAGAGCGGAAGCTTTCTTGTGCGGGACGAATGACTTGCAACAGCCTGTCGGCAGTGGGAACCCCGTCAATGACACGATTGATTTCGTCCACGAGCGAGTGCATCATTCCCGCGACCTCCCCGATCGGATCAGGAGAGGGCGGTTTCGGAAGTTGTTGCAGGGTAGCAAGCGTTTTCTGGATAGTCTTCTCCAACTCCACCTGGATCTCGGGCAGACTGGACAATTGTAGCAAGGAGCACACGAGGGAACGAGCGAAGGCTCACCGTTTAGAGATCAAATCGGATAGAATCGAGCTGAGGCGATCTACTAGATTGGTGGTGCGCAGGTACTTCTGGTACATCTGGTCAAGTTCGGACCACGGCGAGGTGAAAGAGAAAAAATCGTTTTCCGCGGAACGGGCATTCTGCCAGGTGATACCGAGCTTGATGTCCTGAGAACTTGGCTGCTTGACACAATACCAGTTGTTCTCAAGCGTCTCCTGTTCGTTACGAATGAAAGGGATCCAGTTGCTTTCCTCGCCTGACGGGATACGATCGGGTTTTGTGAGCACGCCTATGGCAATAAGTACATTGAAATTATTAGAAGCCCACAGTTCTCACCGATGGTTCGTTTGCCCAGTGGATCGTATTGCTTCGTCAGGTTATGGGCACCCTGGTTTTCAAAATCGGCTACACAAATTGAGTCTTTCAGGAAGTCGGATACGGCACCAACACACACTTTCACAGGCCACAGTCAGAAGAATAACACAGCTGGGCTTGGAGATGTACGATGCGACCAAGTTCTCCACCATCTTGATGTCGCGATTGTCACCACCTCGACTGACGCTAGCAATCAAGCCTAGACAGCAACGAACGGGGGTCAATACAGAGCTTAGGATGCAAAGAATCCACGGCATACCAGGCAAATCGACAAACGCCAGATCACTAATGTCTGGCCCGGTGATTTGTAGCGAGATATAATTGGTTGAGAACGACAGCTCAGAGGGCTCATTTTCATCCTCGTCGTCGGACAGGAATGAACGAGCGGGCTTGCTTGGATTCAGGATGGCACGTTGAGCGCGTCTGATTCGATCTTCGACGTCGGCCCTGTCGGTGATGGGTTCGCCAAACCGCTCGTTGCGGGCTTGACCGAGCGGCTGTCCATTCTTGTCGGTGATTACGCGCAATTCGACAATGCAGCCCCAAATGCTATCGTCTGCATGCGATAGACGGATTTCAGTGGGACAACTATCAGACAGTCAGAACCGGCACAATACGAAAGCAAAGTGCACACCGAGTGCAAGTCCCTGCAGCACGCGGGAGAGTGATACCAGAAATGGACTCGATGAGAGATGATTTGCCCGCGCTCTGGTTCCCAATAACGGCGATCTGTGGCAGGTCGATATCGTTTTGGACACTATAGCAGGCATAAATTTGTGAAAACGAGAATAATGAAGGCAGATTACCCAGTGTTCTTCATGCGGTTAACCAAATCGAGCATCTGCCGGCGGGCTTTCGCGATCCCTGGGTCAGAGAGTCCAACGCCGACCATCCCAGTGTTGGGTTCATGCACGGACACAGATTCGCCCGAAGAACACTCAGCGCCGACATCGTCGATTGGCTGGGCAGACGGAGCAGATGGGGCAAGGGACTTGGGAGACCGTTTTGTAGATGTGCGCATGGTTGACTGCCCCAGCCTTCCCTGTTCATCGAGTTCATGTACTCTGTAGAGCGCCTATGTGTGATCCCCGCGCAGACAATAAATTACGTGGACGCGTTCGTATCCATTCAGCGCCGCCGCCTTCGAACGACAAGAAGGGTGTAATGCGAAGTGTTTTGGACATCACAAGCGCCCGAACGATGGATTCTGCGATGTACGGATGACGATGTCCATTATTACGATGGAGCGTTGAGAAAGCAAAAGCAAGGAGATTATGAGTAAGGCTTGCTTCTGCAACGAGGATGATGCAAAAAATTGAGGAAAGCGCTGTGGATGAGAGAGTACTAAGTAGTATGTAGTAGGAGTGCAACTTGCTTAAACCAGTGTTGACGGGGTCCAGTCCGGTACCGGTCCCGGTCCCAGGGTCCGGGGGCAGGTCAAGGACAGGTCCGGTCAAGAGTAGGAATATGTGTGGGGTCCGGTGTGGTCCGGTCCTAGTCCAAAGGTCATGTGATTGGCTTAGTCATTCGTGAAAACCACTATCTAGTATTATTTTGCCTTGATCTCGCCTCAATTTGCTCAATTACATGGCTCCCAACAAAACGAGGTGTGAGCTATATCCGCTCGAATTCATTTTCGACACGACAAAAATCTAGAAAACATTGCCTTGGAGCGGTTCTTTGCCTTACTACCAGCTCAAGAATGAGGCCGAGATTCACAAGGTGATGGCAGAGTTTGAGGAGGATGCTCCGGGAGATCCAAACGAGGTTTTAATAGAGTAGATACATTAAAAAATACAGTGTTGTGCTGCTGGAAGCTCGTAGCTGCAAATCGGAGACCGGTCCCAGCGGACCCCAGCGGCCTATGGGTCCGGGGCAGGTCCGCTCGATGGTGGCGGACTACGGACTCCGGTCTCAGGGACCGGACCCCGGGTCCCGTCAACACTGGCTTAAACAGTCAAGGATACTACGGCCGACCAGGCCGAAGTCACAGCCACTTGACTGCGATGGATGGCGACGATTTCACGAACGTGCGCTTGTCAACTGGTAATCTGCCTTGCTTCCTAATCCACCGTTGGGCCCTCTGCGTAGACGCTGCCGCAGAAAGCCTTTTCCGATTACAACGCCTTTGGACCGTCACGATCGTAAACAGCCTTCCCGTGATGCTGGCAGTCTCCTTAGATCGGTGCTCGGGCCCGACACCAGTCATAACGGCCGCAACTTGATTCCACACACTGACAATGCATTTCTCCAAGACCTATGCTCAACTGCTGAGCGAGCTCCCACACGAATTAAGCGACAATGCTATTCAATATCGTCAGGTATCGACCTATGTAATGATAGTCCATGGATATCTCTGAACCCCATCAGCTGAAAAAACTCATTAATCAAGTCGCCATAGAGCTCGCAACGCTCGGACTTGGGCCGGCAGTGTTAAACAGTCTTTTGCGAACCGGTTCCGACTCGATTCCGTCGGAGGGGAAGGGGAAAGGACGCGGCACACGTATCGTTTACGAATACAATAATGAGTCGGGTCAAATTCAGCCTCGCTTGCGATTGTGGGTCGGCGCTTCCCACTCAACGACCTCACCATTTCGATCCGAAGCAGGCACAGAAGAAGAAGAATTGGGAACAGACGACCCGTCGCTTGCCGCGCTACTATGGGCCATGCAGCGAGAAAGCAAGCCCTTGGGGACGTCGGTAGAACAACGAGATGGCAACATGGAAATCGTTATACCATTACCCTCCGATTCCGCCTTTTTCCAACTGCTTGCCACTGCTCTTTCCGCTTTATCCGAGAGGCTGCTCGCCATACATGCTGAATTTGTGCGAACGCTTGCTGACCTGACCGTCGCTGTGTCGTCTTCGGCACGTCCAGTTTCGTCCGAAAACCACTCATTCAGAGTGCATTCGCCTTTCACATCGGATGCTGGTGGAGTCCGAGTAGACGCTTCGAGCAGAAAGGTGAGTGTGCGCGCTCTACTGATTATGCGCACTCTGATTTCTTGCAGAGTGATCTTTCGACTTGGCGAGAAATATTCCAGCTCTATCTCCAGGCCGAAATCTTCGAATGCCTGAGCGAAAGATCGCGAGGGGAACGCACAGTTGAGGATGTGGAGACCCGATTGAAGGATTTTGCAGAGCGCGTGACTGTACTGGGACTGGATGATCGACGGCGTCTTAAGCTTCCTGCGAGTCAAAGTGCACTCAAAACTTTCTTCGAACTAAACGTTTTCATCTTGAACGTCAAGAAGGTTAGCTTGCCCGTTTATCCGCAATCCTGGTGCTGAGGCTGATCAACCTTTAGTTTGAACTTGCTAATTCGGAAGCGACCCGCAAAATTCTCAAGAAACATACGAAACGCACAGCGTTGCCTATCACCGACAATAATAACACCCATTCGCTCGCAATATTACCCTCCCATGATGCTTCTCTTCCCCGTATTCTCGTTCAAGAGTTGGGCACGACGCTGTTGCCGATTGTCCCTTCTTTGGATGATTACTCCTGTCTGATCTGCACCAGTCTGGCTTTCAAACCTATCCGGCTCTCCTGTGGTCACCTGTTCTGCGTACGCTGCTTAGTCAAGATGCAGAAGCGTGGCGACGAGAGGTGTCCCGTGTGTCGTTCCCCATGCGTTTTGCTCGCCGACCGATGTGTGTATCGTGCTTCATCTCTCCACCCGAGGACTAACAGTATGCAACAGCCAATGTTGATTGGGCTTTGCTCAACTTTATGCGCGATTGGTTTCCGGAAGAGGCTCGTTTCAAATTGCGTCAGAACGAGCAGGAAGCTGCCCAAGAACAAATGGAAGAACTAGGCATCACTTCTCAGCAGCCGTGTCTTATTATGTAGTGCCGTAATTATGTCCAGACTATATCCGAAATTCTGGCTACTTATCGATATTCTACGATTTACAGTGATAAAGTACAGATGCGATACCCTATGAGCCTTCCTTGGAGCTGAGACTGCGAAAGAATTCTGCATAGGCATGATCTACGTCGAAGAGCAGCTGATGGCCACAGAAAGGGAAGGGTCAGCCAGTGTGGAGACATCTTGCGATGCAGAAGGTTACCTGGCGAGATTGTTCTTCTGATAGTTCCTCGGAGGCCTTCATGCCGTTCAAGGTAATCAACCTAGATTCCGGTCAGCAGGGGACGGATCTCACTAACTGTGTGCTCACCATCCCACCATCCTGCTCCGCCCCTCCCAATCCTTACTGCCCTTGAATCGCGCGTATCCTGTGACGAGATCTTGCAGGATTGGATGTAGTTGATCCTTTGCACGCATACGAAGCTTGAGAGCATCCATGAAAGTGATGAAGCTCTGGCAATGAGATGTTACGAGTGTCATGATCAGCAGTGGACGAAACGTGCCTGCGTCGTCTCTGCAACCCACTTGCCTGTTTCCGGGCCTGCTTCGCTGGAATGTTCAACCGTCGCAGGAACACCGACCTTTATTCGATGAAGTGCTGCTGGATTGTCCATCTGGAAATCGCAATTCGTCAGGGAACGAAGATAATTGGCTTGAAGATGGCACACACTCGATAGCGGCTCATGAATTGCTCGATAGATGGTACATCGTCTTCGACGAGTTTTGAGATGATCTGATATTGCGAAAGGAGTCGAGTGCATGCTGGAGAGTATCTCTTCGACATGCCTTAGATCGAACAAAGCAGCTCGAGAAGGGACACACTCTGTTGCGGTGACGGAATCGCGAACATACGCTCGCTCCAGAAAGTCCAATGCGATGATGATTCCAAACAGGGTAGCCAACGAGTTGTATTTCTCCCGGTCGGCGTTGTTCGTGTATAGTCGGACCTCTTCGTCCAAGGAAAACGCAGACATCGAGGATGGTCAGTCACAGTGGCCCGAGGGGCTGTCAGGCGATTACGTACGTGATCTGATGATGTTGATGGCTGATTGTCGATGTGGACGCGGTCACGAGCTTAAAATAACGAGAACTGTTTTTGCAAGTCTGAGGATCGGCCGCCATTCCAGCCCTTGCTGCATATCACATGTGTCCAACGACAAAGCAGGTCCTGACGCACTACTTCCGATCAAACCAAAGGTGAATTGGGTCCGAGGAGTGGCATGTAGCTGTGCTAGAAATGGCGCGTGGTGTCGAAGCTGTGGAACCGGACATACAGCGCGAATCAGGGTCTTGCCACGGAGCCCTTGAGTCCCTGCAGGAACATCATTCCCATGCTCGACGGAATCTATAGCAGTCTCCGACATGAATTTTAAACAGGAATTCAAAAGAAATACAAGTGCATGCCGTCGAACCACACAATACTCGCATGTATCCCGATGTGCAGGAGCTCTGGGCCATCTGCGGTCTACGCTGTTCTAGAGCTTTGAGAGTTGTGTACGAGTCTGTCATCGGTGACGATGATGCCCACCGCTTGGAGGCTCTCAATGCATCTATCCGCTTATTTTAACGCGTACTGACATACATGTAGAGATGACCAGGGCCGCTGTTCCCGTGTCCATGCTCTCGCTTGATCGAAGACTCTCCCCGACACAATCGAGCCTTGTGCACTTAAATGTGGCATTACAGAATCCATTGACACGCTGCCCGTAATCGACCGTCCGTGTTAGGCGAATGCAATCTCCGCGGAGCCGGAGAAGATGTGCAACTGATGGGCAAGGTTTGCAGGATGATACCCCCGGCCGCGAACTTTGAATGCATGATAGCACGATCGGTTCCTACTCCGGCTCAGGAGGAGGCTGTTCTGTATCTATGGTCAGATTCAGACGGGCAACAGAACGAGAGATCGACGCAACTAGAGCGGTCACCCCGTGGGACAGATATTCGATCCAAATCTGGAGCGGGCCCGTCTCTCAGATAAGGTGACGAGAGAGAGGAAACCTCTTTACCGCCTCTCAACTCCTGGTTCTTGCTTTCGATCCTATCTGCATCTAGAGGCCATCGGTTCAGTAGGTGAAGCTGGTCACAGATCCTCAACCCGACGACTGACAGGTTTGGAGGCGCTGGATTTCTTTACGGGCATCGGATAAAGCTTTCAAATTGTCACCTGGGTTCTGCACCGCACAACAAGAGACCAACCATCTTCCACACGATGTAGCTCTCGCACTGGATCACAGGACATGAGATCTTGTCATCAGGGAATGACTGCGACTGACCTGCGTCTCGAGCCTGGGATTCTGCTTCGTCGACTTGTCGTTGTGCGACACGAACGGCTATTGACTGCTCGGAAAACGGTATAGTGGGGCTCGGATCACGAACCTTCCCGTTGTTCCTCCATTTCTGCCTGAGATCGTTGCTCGACCGCCGTCAAGGCTGATGGAGAAGCTTCGATGAGATGTAGATGCACGTTGAGAAGAAGCACAGCCAGACCTGCAATCAGCTCTTGCTCTTTCTTCTGATACATGAAGGACACTGAGCAGTCCGACTGGTCAGTCAGTGTGACCAGGAAAACGGCAGACTGGCGTACTGCTGATGACATCCTTCTCTTTTTTCTTGACTGGAACCGGTTTGATCAGCGAGCGATCAAAGAAGGAAATGACATCTACATTTAGCCAATTCACGGTTCTTCACGCGCAACTCTGTCGAATCTCGTCAGCACAAGCGGCCAACGTCGGAAGACAACATGCATTACCTCGTTTGAAGTGCGCTTCTGCGTATTGGGCACGCTGCATCTCGCTCCAAGCTTGAGGGAACATGTCATGAGAATGAGGAAAACGTGAGAGTGGGCAAGTACCAAAATTGTCGCGTAGCTCCTGCTCTGTTCCACCGGGATGGGCTGCGAGAGCGAATTCAGCGCATGACAAGGCGCATTGACAAAGCGCACTACTCACGATTTGGTGGCTCATACTGCTGCAAGGTCGATGGTCCTGCGACCGGACTGGTGCCCTCGAACGACTGGTAACCTGACGGAGTTTTACGCCTGTGAGGTTCGGAGCTTTCGGAGCGGGGCAAAGGGGCTGGAGGTGTAGACAGGATGAGCGGGCTGTTCGACGGCGGACTGTTCGACGGTCGGTCAGGACTGGGCTGATGCCGCCGGGCTCGATAGTTTTCGGGTGGACTGAATTGCAACTGAGGGACGCTTCCGGAGCTAGCGTGTGAACGACCCTGCATAGGACGTGGCAATGGATAATCTGCTGGGGGGCGATGCGACCTGGACGGCGGGGGACTGGCATATCCATCTCGGTGGAGTTGCATTGGGGGCAGGGTCTTGCGTTCTTCTGTCTCTATCATCTTGACGAGGATTTCCGAAACCAATACATCGACGTCGGGATTCCGCTCGCCTGGCTCAATCACCGCAATGTTCTTTTGGACCATAATGACGCGACTAGCGCATATATCCGCTCGCGAGGTCCACGTGATCCCCGTCGAGTCCGCCCAGAGGTACAAGTCGGATATCTGCGCATCATTGGCCCATGGGTGCGCAACGAGATATCTGTACAGTGGCACACGGTCCAATCGTAGTGCGGTCCATTTTCGCCACTGTCCCGGACTGTAGCCGTCTCGATCGCGCCAATGAAGGGTGTTTCGGCCGGGTGTCAAATCGACGTAAACATCGCCGACCGATCCCACATGTCCGGGAGGCGGCCCCACGGCTCTGAACTCGACGAAGGAGATCTGCACGGTGCGAGTGTTGTCCAAAGTGTACGGATGACCCGGGAGGAAAGACTCGGGGTTCGCCGCAAACGTCCTGCGGAACGAAAGCATGGGTGTGGTGAAGAGACCAACGGCCGTCGAGTTGTGTGTGTGTATGAGCGCTGGTCAAAAGTGGGAAGAAGTTGCGTCGTGCGAAGTAGAAGCCCGCCCGAGTGAACGTCTACGTGCTGCCTTGGTACCCGTGATTAATCAGTGATGCTTAACGGAACATCAGTCGCAAACTTGCACCTCACGGTTGGATATTTCAGTGCGGGATGGCATCCGAGAACGGCTGGAAGATGAGATGGTGTTGATTGAGATGAACCGAATCAGGCCAAACCCAATGGCAGCTGTTGAGCATATCAGTGCTTCTTTGTTATGATCCCTTCAGGACGGGCGGAAGATCGCAAGCATGCTGATGCAAACGAGCCATTTGTCACACTACACACTGGCCGGAGCTCGAGGAGGTCGGGCTTTCGCCGGCCAGCCGGGGCAACCAGGTTCGGAAAGTAAATCCAGACGATGCTGCGGAAGGACCAGCACAACGTTGTCAGTTTCTTTCCACCATGCATATTACAGTAACGTACAGCATGCCCGGGCACAGGCATGCTGCATTCATCAAAGAAGATGTCGGGAGGTTGCAATCATTGCCGAGTTCCCGGTAAGCGATGCCAGCAACCTTGAACAAGAGAAGCGTGGATCCATCCCCGGCCATGAAATCCGAGTTCGTTCAAGCGCACATGAGGCTTTATTTTAAGTTGAATCAGCGAGGATCATGGAATGATGCGTGGCAGTGCTCTTCATCGACTGATTCGCTTTGACCGTATATTTTGTAGCAAGTGATCAAGGCAATGATCTCGACGTTGACGAACGATGTGTCGTGGCCTCAGAGTCCCCGTTCAATTTTTATTCCATTTCCGAGTATCGTCCAAAGTCCCGCGGATAAGCACCATGCTCATTCCCCTGCAGATACCTGCGTTTTCCAATAGGATTGAAGTCTTTCACTTTCAGTACATGCCATGCTCCTGCTTTATCTTGAGCAAATGGCGTTCTGAATTAAGACGATCATGGCTTGAGTTGTTTCTCACAAAAGTTGTGCACTACTGCTACTTATGTGCAACGCTGACGCGGAGAATCATGATCGATTGATGCATCGCGGCAAAGGGAGACAAACATCACGGCTCGATTTCAAGACGCGCTCTCGGGCTGGCAGCCTCAGTGGGCATTGGTCACCCAAGCCCCAACCTATTTACTGAACCTGCGCGCGCCACATATGATCCATATGCGTCCCTCAGTTCCCCCGATCAGCTCCTTAGTTGGTGCATTGATTCTAGGCATTCATACGTCGCGAACTAACTCTCTAATGAAAACCGTAGAACCCACCCCGATGCCAAGTTCAGAGGATGACGACCTCGAACTTAATCCCAAGTTGTCGCAGCATGTCAAAGTTCCGGCCAAACGGAAGAAAAACACACTGCGAAGCGAAGGCCCAAGGCTACAGTTTGAGAACGGTCTGAACGGCAGCGGAAGCGTGCCGGCGAAGAAGAAACACAAGGGTCTGTATTGAATATCATGCTGGTCCTACTTCTCTCTTCGTACTCAAAGACGCTAATCCGGGATATCAGTACAAACGAACGCAGAGGCTTCAGGCAGCAACCCTGCGCGTTCATACTCTCATTCATACTCTCCCTCTGTTCCGACCACAAACACGAATACGAGTCCGCGTCGTCCACTCTCCCATGACACTCCTCTTGAACCGTTATCACCTCCGCGGGCCTCGGCGAAGACACAGCCGCAGACCTGCATGCCGGACCCACCGATCCCTCTTGCTGCGTCCAGTTCGAAAAGCTCCACCCGAAACTCGCTCTCCCAATCGAAACTGACATTTCTCAATGACTCTGGAGCTCTCACCCCCAAGTCCAGGTTCACTGCAACGCCGAAACCCATTCCGCTTCCGAAAAAAGGGCGCCGACGACCAATGAGTAATCCCCCTAGTCCCGAGCCCGAAGAATCATTCCCTATGCCTTCGTTGACAGCGCCGGCTGGTTCAAGCCGCCGCGGGATGTTTGACAGGGTCGTGTTCCAGTCACGTTTCTCGGTCGGCGCTCCTCGGTCGGCGCCTGCGCCTCCATCGACGAACACTGTGCAGAGAAACAAGGTAGAAAGGCGAGGTGCGTGTTTCCTTTCGAAGTTATGATCCAGGTCTCACGGCCATGCATAGCCCTGACAACGGAGGTGATCGATCTCACCGGTCCCGATGGAGACGACCCTGGTTCCAAGAAGGATCTTCGCGCCGACTCCGAAGAACAGATTGTCATCGAAGTTACCGATTCAGACGACGAGAGTATGGTGAAACGCTCGCGCTTGGGAAACTCAAGTGTTGCTGGCTTGAAGACTGGCAAAGAGGAGTCGACAGAAATTATCGAGATCAGTGATGGCGAGGACGAGCAGCAATTTGGGGTGGCGGAGCCACTCTTTACGGAGGATGAGCCACTTCCCATTTCCTTCGGTGAAGATCAAAGCGAATCGTTCCAGAATAATACACCGGTGGGCGAACGTGACTCGGCACAACCTGGCGACGTCCCTCCGAATTCGAGCGAGAGAGAGGAGCATAAAGAACACGCCGAAGTTAGAACTGGGAATAGCACTGGACCTGAAGCCAGACCTGATTCTCCTAGGGTGGAAAAGCCTCTGGAACAGCAGGATAACCTCTCTCCAACCGAGACTGAAACTGGCGAAGATATGAATGAGACCATACGCAGGACATCACTCACGTCAGACCCGGTCGAGTTGCGGAAGGAGTCGGGTATTCCTAGATCGGAAGTCGCACAAGCACGGGAGATCAAAGAGGAGTCCGAAACGGGGACGCTACTGGAACGCGATGGACTAGGCCTAGCGCAAGAAATCATCGACTTGGCGCTTTCTGATGGAGAGATGGCCGAAGATGAGGAGGACATGGGAGAGCGCAGTGAGATCCTAGTTGATATGGACACGCAACAAGACCCACCAGAAGAACCCGGACTTGCCGTCGAAATCGAACTGCAGCCTGGATGTGAATCGGTTCCAGATGTGCAAACTTCCGCCTCCTCAATACCGATTCTACCGAAACTACCTGCAATCGGATCGCAAATTCCTGCGAAGGCGAAACAAAACTCCTTGCATTTGATGGAGAGGCTGAGGATGGGCGGAAATTGGAAAGGCAAGCAGAAGAAGATAGATGATGCGATGCTCGAGAAAGACCAGGAAACGCTTCATCAGAAAGAGATGACTATCGGCGAAATAGAGAATGGAAACGAACAGGCCGATGAGGACACGAGCACGATCGAGCAAGTCAGGATCCCTGAAATCCTTGAAAAGGACTCCATGGAGTGGAGACACGTGCGTCAACTCAGAAAACTCCGTGCTATGGGTAGGTGTCTTGTCTCCCGGAGAGCTCACTCACATTTCATTAGCCTCTGAGCTAGGCCGGCCCGCCAGTGCCTGTGAGTGGACCACATTGCTGGAAGAATAACTTCTGATTTGAATGAGAAGTGTCTTCGAGAGTGCGGCGGAGCTACGATGACCAGGAAGTCTATGAGCTGGAGTACGCTGGCCCATCTGAGGTGAGAGAAACGCGATCAAGCGATGTGCCAATATCCATCTGGACTGTTGCAGCCCGAGATTGAACGTGACACGCGATCTTCGTCGCCTGTACATTCTTCTACTCGGACATCCTCACCTGCGCGGTCGACTTCGCAAGTAGGATGTCCTTCAACCCCCGAATCATCTTCGCCTGCGGGATTTCCGTCTCTTCCTCGGTCTCCTTCACCTCACCCACCGCCAAGAGCATACCAGCCTGTGTTTGATCCGGATGTCCGATATGCCCGAGACTTGTCGAGTTCGATGTACGATTACTTCAACTCATACGATGACGACTTCCACACTGGCGCTCCCGGGCACATGCGTCGGGTGCTAGAAGCTTTATCCTGATCACCCTGCGCTGGACGAGGCCCGATGCGCCGCCCATTATGGTCATCAACGACGTTGACTAGAACCCGCTCCGCCGTGGAATTCTACTACACGAACCTGATGTGGCTTGGGGACGGCATTGATGCGCCGCGCGCCGAAGAGGTGCCTGGATGTGACTGCGTCGGCGGCTGTCAATCTGGAACAGGAGCAAATGCGCGTGTCTGGCTCGGCAGC